TTCCTTATCAATGTAAGTAACCACCTTTAATTATTAAGTCAAAATAATTTGTGTATTATCATTAAAAACTACTTAGACAGTCTTATCGGAGAGTCTAAAAATGATGGCATGCTTTGCCTTCATCCATTTTTTAACATAAATTTTCTACCAACATTATTACTCAGTTTCACTAACAATTTCATTTTCTATTAAATATCCCTTAAAATGAATCATCAAAGTGGATTTCTTTTGCATATCCGGAGTTTGTTCTCTTAGAGTTCCTTCCTTTTCCTCTCCATTTCTATCAATATACATGTATTTGCTATAATATTAAATGATAAAATTACTCATCATTCAACATCAGCATTTTGGAACAATCATTGTAAAAGACTCCACATTAAAAATTATTGAAAACATATCCCAATCCATATTTACTCGAATAATCAACCCTGAAATTAATTTAATATAATTACCATTTTTTAACATATATTTGAGGCTCTTAAATGACATAATTCTAATTAAGACAGCTTTCGATATTGGAACGTAGAGGAATTCTATCCATACTTGCATACTGAGGACGTTATTTGAGTTCAAGAGGTCGTTTTTCAGTGCTTTCAAATTTTGGAATACTGGTAGATTGTTATTTCTGATACTATCTCATGTATTATGAGGAGGGTGGACAAGCTAATGTGCTTAAAGGTAATAATTAAGGAATAAGACCATGAAAGAATTCGTGATCCTAAATTTCTTAAAGGGTTAATCGCTTAGATGGTTCAGTGATAAGAATCTTACTGATCAGCTGTTTCGCTGCATTGCTAATGATACTAGATTCAGGGAATTAGTAAGCATTCATTTTGATTCTTCTATAAGTAGTTTTGACATCAGTTGTTTCAAAAGGAGGTTTGCCAATCAAAAGAGTATAAGCAATAACACCAAATGACCAAATATCTACTTCAAAACTATGACCATTTTTTGATTCCAAGATTTCGGGCGCAATATAATTGGGAGTGCCACAAACTGTACGTTTTCTTTCACCTTCAAATTCTATCAGAGTAGCTAACCCAAAATCTCCTAATTTGACTTCCATTTTATCAGACAAAAATAAATTGCCTAATTTTAAATCTCTATGTATAACTTTATGCTTATGTAAATACTAAAGTGCAATTAGTATTTACATAAGATAACATTATACTTCAAGTTCAGTTAATCTTTTTCTTCTTTTGAGTAACTCATTCATAGTTTGATTGGTGCATAATTCTAATAATATATAAACATTTTCATCATCCTCAAAATATCTATGGAACCCAACAATGTTTTGATGCTATAGACTGCGATGTATTTTGATTTCAGACATTAATTTTTATCTTGCTCTTGATCTTGTAAGACTTGCCTTGCTAATTATTTTACTAGCATAAGATTATTCTCCATGCTAAAATTCATAGCATTTTGCAAACCCTCCTTTCCCTAAGAATTTACCCTTTACATATTAACGCACAGTTTTATCCTTACAAACTTCCTCTACAATATCCATTTTTTTTTTAACGATTAAATTTAATATCAGAATTTATAATCATTAGTTCTGACCAACAATGCCCTCTGGTACCACTTTTTATATGTGCTCAAGTACATAATTTATTATCGCTTTAAATCCCATAAGGTGATTGACAATGTCCCTTAAGAACTACCTATATTATTTGTTGTTTGATTCTCCATTGAATAAGTGAATTATGAATAAAAATTTGACCTGACAAGGTAAAGTATTCTGTTCTCCCTTCTTCAATAAATTATGCATCAAATTTAATTATACATTTGATATTCATAACTTTTTTCTAATATATATTTTGTTTCTCATCTTTTTAGTATCTTCTATTTGTAATAATCACTAAATATCTACGAGTTCAAATAGGTTTTATTATCAATCATTACACAATCAATATTTTGCAGAATGTAGTCAAAATTCTCAGTACATTTAATATTTAAAGTAATTGTAATTTAAATTAAACAAATTTAAATCTTATAATAATATATTCCAATATTCATAGGACTTTTCAATATTCAAGGTTAGTAACCCTTATTTAGATCTTTTTCATACATTATTAATCTATGAATCATTTCCCTTTCGATGTTCACTATTTCATTCAAATTACTTCACAGACCCAAATGTAAATGGGTTATCTACTTTCCACAACATATAGCATTGCTAATATTTCCCTTATGTTTCTACATAAACTGAAGAATTAAATTTATTCTTTAATTTATATAACTCAGAAATATATTATTCTATAGTTTTTTGCAAGGACATCTTGCTCAAAAGTTTAATTTCGCTAACCATATTTGTAGAGAGAATGTAATTTCTTTCTACAAATATAAATTAAACACTCCAACACTCTGATAATCATGAGTATTATAAAAAATAAGAACAATAAAATTTTATATCTGAATGCTTAGTCTATAAATATTTTAATAATGTAATCTATTCGTCAACAGCGTATGAATAAAATCATGCAAGTTTAAGGAGAAGTTGGATAGCATAAGGGATATGCAGCAATTAAAATTGCATAAAATGTTCATGAACTCCTAAGAAAAAGTAAATCGGAAACAAAATGTATCGGAGAATTAGCCATTCAGGATATTAGAAAAAAACTGCTGCAGGATTAATTTAACTCCATCAAAATGTATGATATTCCCAAAGGTGAAGACAAACCAGGGATTCAGTTCAAATCAGTTCACAATATGTACGATCTGCAAACATTAAAGATGACGAAGCTATACAAAAAGAATTAACGAAATGATATTGAAAAGCAAGTTAGATCTTAATTAGCCAAAGAGCCAGATAAATAATTATTTCTATCTGAAATTTATGAACAGTTGGAAGATAATTCTGATGGAGAAGTACTCAAGAGGAAATAAAAAGTTAAAGAAGAATCCTTAGCAACTCAGTCAAAAGAATATGATGACTCTAAAGATCAAATCACAGATCTTAAATAATGGACAAAGAAAATGAAGGAATTGAAAAAGAAGTAACAAAACAAAAAGAACGAAAGTGATATAGTTGACCTACCAAAAAGTAAGGATAGAACTCAAAGCGAAATAAAGAATCCTTTGGTTCGTTAAGATTGTGCTCGAAATTAAAAAATTGACAAATCAAACTCACCTTAGAATACTTAAAACACTCCAAAATCTTATTAGGACATTATGAAGAATGCAGTTTCTAGGGCTAAGTAACTTAAGAGTTTAAATGAAGATCCAAGTGTAGAACGATCAATTTAATAATATCTTTAAAAGGCATCCACAGTGGCCTTAAATGAACTCAAAGAGATTGGAGAACTCAATGTCGACGAAGAGAAAGGCCTTTCAAAAAATTTCGATTTCACTAATGAAGAGGTCTAAAGGATGTACAATACTCTTGTTCGAGTTCAGTTTTCACAATTCAAATCAGAGGCAGAAAAAGCAAAATTTTATTAAAAATAAACATAATTAATAGCTAATAAATTAATCCAAAAGATTAAATAAAATGAATCAATTATTGAGGCGAAGATTGCAACATAGGAAAACCTAAGATTGGAGACACATGATTTTCATGACAAACTAATCCAAATCAAGTAGCTATCGTAGCAATTACAACAAGAAATTGAAGAAATGAAAGACCCTAAATCATCGTATAATATGTAGGTGAGTTAATCTCGGAAGTCTTTAGTCAACTAATTTATGAGCAAGCAAAACAAAGAAAAAGAATTGTAATAAGATTTGAATGTCCTAAAAGAGAGTCGCATAGCTTATATACACAAAATTTTGTTCAATAAAAAAACTTTAGAGTAAATAGATTCTGATTTACAAAACAAAAAAAAAGAAAATAAAAATATATAAAGGTGTCTCATCACTTTCTATTTCTAAATTTTAAAAAACGCTTAAGATGTTAGGAATACAGGAATAGCCTGGGTAATATCAAGACTAAATGCTCTTAATGAGAAATTGAACTATTAAGACTTCCCAGATTATTTAGATCAAAAAGCTAAGGAATATTTACTACAAGTATATTTAATATTTAATCAAGAAAGCTACTATGTTGTAAGAAATTGAATAACTAGAGAAAGAACTAAGTGAATCCTTTAAATAGTACAAATAAGAATAATCATTTGATAATAGTTTAGCAATCATTCAACAAAGCTTATCTCATAATGACTCTTTAGAAATCTCTTCTCTACCCTCCATATTTCCATATGATAGTAATAAATTATCAGCCATTGACTTAACATAAGCAAGAATACAAGCAAGTAAAAGCAGTCGAAATAATTATCAAATTGACAAATTAGGTCCTATAACACTAGGTTTAAAAAATGAAGATCTTGAGAATTTAGAGAATATGTTAATAAGGTTGAATTAAAAAAATCTACCTGTGACTAATGGGACTCTCATTTATAGAGAAACCTAAAAAAGAATCAAATAATAAATAAAATAATAATAAGGAGGATCTATTGAAGTTTCTCAAATCAATGATTCATCAACTGTATTAAAAGAGCAAGCCATTCATTCTTACGATAAATGCAACGCTCAATTAAACAAAATAAAAATAAAAGTATATCTAAAAATAAATTAAGTTATTGCATTTGGATGATGAATAAGTAACTCGAATTGTAAAAGAATTTGACTATAAGAATTATAGTAAACGATTCAACATAGATCCAATAACAGTAATCTCATGTTTAGTGGGAGGATTAAGATGTGATAGAGAAATAATTAAATAGGGAATTAAGTAAACTCACTATGATTGAAAGAGAGTATTGATTAAATCATTTTTATTTTTACATAACTAATCTAATAGAAAACTAAAATTAAATCTATAGTTGTCTAAACTCCACTATATTCAATAATTATTCATTTAATTTATCTTTTCATAAGAATTGAACCTTAATTTAGATAAAATAAATAATAATAGAAAAGAATAATCAGACATTAAATGTAAAGTAAAGTTCACATTACTAAATTACAAAAGGATTTATAATATGATAATTTTTTTAATTTCATTTATTCTTTAAAAATGTCTTTTTACTTAATAAGTATCCTCCTGTCAATATCAATGCCAGAAGTGTCACAACACTAACTACTTCAACAACTGGTAGGCTGTTTTGCTTTTTCAATTATGATATTTAATAGTCAGAATAACCGAAGGGACTAAATGATAATGAAATGAATGAGAATACTTTTGGTGTAAGATATCATTAACTTTCTTGATTTCTTCCAAAAAAGATTTTTTCTCATTATATGAAGAGATTGGGATGAGTTAAGCAGTTTAAAAGTTACTATTTTGATCTATAAGTAAAAAGTCTATGATGCTTAATTGTCTTTTTTCAATTTATTATTCAGCTTCCAATTCATCGTATAAACTAATAGCATATGTTTTACTTTGAATAGATGTGATAATGAGGGACTGATTTTCAAGCTATTTTTCAAGTTAAGCCTAAGAGATAAGGATGAATAAACAACCTTTTTTCTGGTGACAATGGCAATATGAAACACTTTTCTATCAATAATCTTTTAAACAGAAGACCAGGAATCCTTTCTATTTTATTCCTTAAATGTGTCTGATAATTTCATTTCAATTCCAATATAACACAACAACTTGTAGGCTTCTTTATAATTAAAGAAGGAAAAGGCACTTGGATATCATGATTTGAATACTTCCACATTGCCAACCATTGAGTTAAAGTGATGACATTTTATTCCTAAGGATAATATTAACTTAGATGAGGAAAATTAGTTCGATACATCACTGGGTAAAATATATCATCAAATTGTTTCTGATTTAAAGTATTACCTTATTAAGATGTTGAATTGCATCTGATTTCAAATATCTATTTTAATTTAGATAAGGCAATCTCGCTCAATTCAACAGTTTGGCCTGCATCTTAATCAAATATTAATCTAATTCCATTTAAATTAATACTCATTTGTAAAAATATTCTCATCCAAAGTCAAATCATCTTTGTATCTAAAAAAGCGTAGAATAGTCCAACAGATTTGAATCTTCATTAGTTCTATCCCTCTTTTTTGTAATGCTATAAATCCTTCTAAAGTAATCACTTTTTTGTTTGAGTTATCATGCAATTCCTCTTCTATCATGTCTTTTATTCCAGCAATGTCACTATAATCTAGTTATCTCTTAAACACCTTCTTTTAGAATTTTTCCAATTCAGCATCACTCCAGACTCCATCTCCATCCCTGTCGCAAATCCTAAATATCCTAGTCAATGCCTTTTTAAATCCTTCTGTTAATGACTTGTCTGCAATACTGTAGATCGGGGCTAATGGATAGAGAAATGATCTTTAGGCGCAATTTATCACATCATAGATGCCTTATTGTTTTAGAGATGAACATTCGATTCCCATTTCAACTGACTATATTAATTCAATTTAATACGTTGAAGTCCTTCACTAATTGTTTGATTACCTTGAAGATCCTATGATAATCTCGATCTTCTTCCAAACCCAATAAATCAAGCTTATTTCCAACTATTATTACAGGCTATTTATATCCCTATTCTCTTAATTCCTTGAGCCAAAATCTTTTCAATCTTTCACTTGATCCATCATCATCGATTGAATACATCAGGAGAATCACATCAGCCATCTAAATCTCTTGAGGTAATTGATGTGGAGCACATTTTGTATCGATTAAAGTAGTTATGCATTCAGGGTGATTAAGTATATCAGGAGGTAAATTGATTGGTTGATGTTTATCTAAAACAAGTGCTTTGTTTGATATTTAATTTATTAAAGCTGAAACAAAAGATGATTTCCCGACACCACCTAATACTAATCAAAATTGCTTACTGTCTCCTATTAATACAAGTTTGAGATCCCTCTTTTTCATTCTGAAATATATATATAAATAAGAATTTACAATTATTAATGTCCTAATAAATTTGTATTTGTGGTGCCCAATATTGAGAATATAAACACAGTTATTACATATTTATATTATATCTCTCAATTATAAAATATAACTGAATTTATAATTACTTTGTGATCTCTAAAACCATTAATAAATCCCTTAACTTAGTTAGTGATCACGAAGATAATATATTTGCACTTCATCAAAAAGTGTTCCAAGCTTCACTTATTTTAATACTATACTATATATTATTATAAATATTGTCAAATAAATAAAATAGATAATCATTTAATCAATCAAAATTTTAACAATTCAGAATCTCAAATTTATTAATTGAAAATTAATAAATATATTCAATTAAAGTATTGCTTATTTTGAATTTATTTAAGTTTGACTTATTAATCAGATATTTGATTAAGCATTTCTTTGATTTCATAAAACTCTATATAAGTTCCTGGGAGAGACATCAATTATAGTTAATTATAAAAGAGTAAAAGTAGAATCAATAAATACATCATAAACAATTATTGTCAACCTAACTTAAGAAAGTAATACAGATTTTTGTCTTGTCTATATCTTCATCTATTTTTTAATTGCCTCTATTGAAATATTATAAATTTTTAGAATATCAGTCCATATAATAAGCATAAATTTTGTAGTTTTTACAATATACATTATATTTATTTCCCTATTGAGTCGATGCATTCAATTATTATGTGTCTCCACATATTCTAAAGCAACAATCAAATATAATTTGAGGATATTATTCGAAATTTATTTTATTTGGATAAAGCTATTTTTAAGTTGAAGTATTTTCTCTAAAAAGTATTCTTATCACCAAATACTGAAATTTCTGCAAATTTCAATTGTGAATACATCATACCTTGATTATTACAAAAAACTTATAGAGTAGATTAACATTATATCATTAAAAGATATTCATCTTTCATCCTCAGTGAAGAGATAAAAGATAAATTATTGATTAACCTTTAGTTTGGAAACTCATCAATTATTAATTTTGCTTAAAAAAAATAAATACTTGATCCTTCTGAAATATTTTAGGATAGTTCACTACTAAATCTTAAGCTTCAATTATGAGATAATATTTTTTACAAACTCTCTTTAGCCTACAATATTATAGCTCCAACTCAATCAAAAAGAATATAAGAAAAATCGCTAAATCTTTGAGATTTAAAATTAGTAAATTAGTTATCTAAGAGAGATATACAAATGATCTAATTAGATTCGCCAATTTTTAAATGCCTCAAACAAATATTTAGTTTTTTCTATTTGCTGATTGGAAATATAAGAACCATAAAAAACGATAGATATCAGTAATGTAAGGCTAAACAATGGCTTTGATGGATGTTCAAGAGGGTGTTGATAATGCAAAAGATAGAACCATATTGAAATTTATATGGGCCATAAATAAATTTGCAAGTATAATTAGATCTAAACAAAAATAAAAGCCAACTTTTTCAATACTAATTTATGATGTGAATTTTCTTTTTTTTAAGCAAAAACTTAATATAAATTATTATATTTTGTTACACCACCTAAAGAAAGCTGTCGATATTATTCGCTAAAATACATTATGGATTTAATGAATTAAATAATTGAAGAATAAAAAAGTTTTTTTGGATCGAATACATCTAAAATGGTTTTTTTTTACTCTTATTAAAGGGATTAAAGAGAGCTGATCTTGATTATCAATAATAAATTACATTAAACAACTTGAAATCTAGGTAACAAATTTAATAGAGTGTTTTCTACCTATAGAATAATAAACAAAATTAACAAAATAGAAAAATTACTTGCTATATTATTTAAATTGTTAAAATGGGAAATATTTGTAAAACCATTCCAGTCAAGCTCACACTAAATACAGAGGTTAGCGATGACCAAGAAGTCCACCAAACTATTATGACTACTAATAATAGAGCAATATTTAATGAAATCTATAAGCAAGAAAAAGCAGAACTAAAGACTACAATACAACCTCAACCTTAAATGACATAGGAACAGTGCCTATATTTAGATTTAGTTGAGACAAGCCATTATGCTTCTTAAATCATAGTAAACCAAAGAAAACGAAGTTTTATAATAGAGAATTCACCTAAGTATGATCAAGGAAGCAGAACTACTTCCGAAAATATTGGGCCTAAAAAAATCAACTTTCCTAAGAATCCCATAAAGCCATCATTAAAATCACTAAACTCTAAATAAGGAAGCCCATAAGAAAGGAAAAAATCAGTAAGGTGGGAAAGTGACTTAAGTGTCTTAGGTATTTAAAGCAATACTAGAATGAATTGATATAAATTTATTATTTGTTTTTTAACAAATTGTAGATAGAAAGGTTTAAGTCAAATAAAATTTTAAGGATATAAGAATTTTTCAAACTATTGAGTGAGGCCGAATATCAATTTGATATTAAAAGACAACCTATGAGAACTGTCTAAATTAGAATATAATTATCATATCTTGAACATACAATTTTTACTTACAAATTTTATAATCTATTTTAAATTATTTTGATAATACTTTTCAGTCATAAGTGTGAAACACTAAATTATAGGTTGGTTCTAAATAAAATTAGTTAAAGTTTTTATTTCGCATTTCTCATTTTAGTCTAAATCATTCTGTAAGGATTTCTTTTCAAGAGGAGCGTTTATTAATTAAATTTGGAGAAAGAAGTTTGAATAATTTTTATAAAATAACAATCGCTTCATTTATTTTACTCTTGATTGAATTCTAGACCTAATTAATAGAATACTTCAATTAGTATTTCTCTTTTATTATATATTAACTCTAATACTTGTTTATAATTATTCAATAAGTAATAAACCATAAGGATCAATTTTAATATTAAATATAATAATGAAAAATCCAAAAGTAGATGCTTTGTTTAAGCCATTATAACTTGGGGATATTTAAATTGAAAATAGAATAATCATGGCTTCTTTAACTAGAATGAGATGCGATAAAGTCACAAAGTCTCCAAATGATTTAGTGGTCTAATTTTATACTTAAAGAGCCTCTGCTGGCCTTATTATGACAGAGAGTACATTTATAAGTGAGAGATCTTAGAGTTGGCCTGGATGTCCTGGAATAATGGACTAAACTTAAGTAGAAGGTTGGAAAAAAGTCATAGAATCAGTTCATAATAAAAAAGGGAAAATAATATTATAAATTTGGCATAGTGGACGTGCTACTCATTCAAAATTATAAGATGGTCTTCAGCCTTGGGGACCATCTGCAATAGAAATCAATGGCCCGCATTAAATTTTAAATATTCCGCATGAAATTCCTCATGAAATGAATTTAGAAGAAATTTAGTTAGTTAAAAATCAATTCCGAAAAGGAGCATAGTTAGCTAAGGAAGCAGGTTTTGATGCAATATCACTACATGGATCTAATGGTTACTTGATTGATTAGTTTTTAAAGAGCAATAGCAATAAAAGATAAGATGAATATGGAGGGTCTATTGAAGGTAGATGCAAATTTTGTTTGGAAGTGATTGATGAACTGATATCAGTATTTGGAAAAGGGAGAGTGGGCATCAAGGTATCTCCTATTGGTAGATTCAATGATATGTATGATAATGATCCAATTAAACTTTTCACTTATCTATTTTAAGAATTAGATAAAAGACAAATTGCATTTATAGAACTAATGAATGACAAGGATGAGGAAAATGCATACAATCATGGTTTACCTTCATCATAATCGTAAACTCAAAATTTATTTGAGCAATTAAGAAATTCCTTCAAAGGTGTGATAATAGGAAATGTTGGTTTAACAGGGGAAACAGCTGCACAATTGATTGAAGCTGGAATAATTGATGCTGCAAGCTTTGGAATGCCTTATATATCTAGTAATTATTCTTTACATTTTAGATCCTGATTTAGTGGAGAGAATTAGATACAATTTTCCTTTGACTGTAGCCAATCCAGATACATTCTTTGAAGGAGATCATGTTGGTTATACTGATTATCTCCCATATTAATAATGATAATGTTGAATTATAATTTATTTTCTAGCTCACAATTTTCATATTAATGATATAAAGAATATAAATATCAGCATTAAAATTGAAGAATCTAAAGTCTTTATTCTTGAAGCCAATATTGGTTTCCTGATGATTCCACTATTTGGACTTTCTGCTTGAGGGTACTTAAGGTTTAGTCAAAAAATTACCAAAAATCCAACAACATTAACAAAGTAGTCCTTTCCAATATTTAAATTGGATATTCTATAATTAACAACTATATTCTATTCAATGCTTGTGAGATCACTGATTACTAATTTGGAAGATGCTTAAACAAAGAATTCTGAGACATCGATTGACACCCCTAATTCTGTGATCCCAATTGCTATGATTCCATCTACATTAGTAATTGAAATGTCAGCGTTAAGTGTTGATTAAGCAAAGCTAAGAGTTATAGACAACTCAGGAACAATGAGGATCTGACTTGTATCTACTAGCTTAGGCTATGTAGTGGAAGATAAGAACAAATTGGTACTTTATAAAAAGATAGTTGTGAGTTCTTATTCTCCAAGTAAAGTCAATTCATCAGGTAATATGTCAACTAAATTGGTGTAATCAGTTAGAAAGTATAAAAATAATGGGTATGGTTTAATTTTAGAGTACGATTTTTGAATAGCAACTTGAGTAGAAGTATTTTGATCAGTTGTTACATTATTATTGCTATTATTTGTGGCATCTGAGCATATTGTCCAATCTCCTATGACAATTCTAGTAGCTTATGAAGGATATTTGTACTAAGCTTAACAGACTACACTTTAACTTTGTTTTGCAGTTGGTTCATTATCAAAATATAGTTTTAAAATCATTGCTTTAGAATTGTTATCTGTAGTAGCTATCATATCTCGAGTTAAAGGATAACTTAGGTAGGAGTATATGCCAGTTGAGTCATAACTCAGACAATAGATATCCACATTGTAAAATGAATTTAATTTAACAATAACTGTAATTTCTAAGTTTAAAGTAGATTCTTTATATCCATAATTTTCATAGCTTGATTGTTGATTCATTCTTATTTTTATTTCTTAAAATGTAGGTCTGATTCCATTATTTAAATATATGGCATAATAGATGTCGCTTGTTTGATTGCATGAAGCTGAAACTTTAAGTGTATTTTGTGAATTAATTGTGATGAGACTATTAACAATTGGATAATAGTTCTGTGCCAATACAAAATTGAACAAGTATATTAATATCATAAAAAATTTAAAAATAATCATTTGTTTTCTGAAGGAACAGACTATTGTTTGTTTCGCTCTTGTTGTTCACAAATGGCTAAGTGAATTTTCCAATTCAGACCAATGTTCTTGTAACATAATGGACAAGTATCACCTGTTGAAGTATTACAAACTTTTTTATTCAAATGTTCAGCCAATTGGTTTTCTAAGACAGCACATCCACAACTAAAAGATTCTTAATAATAGCATACGTTTCACATTATCTATAGTTTTTAGCAAATTCACATTCTTCAAAATGATGATTAGTTAATTGAGAGACTTCAACCACTTAGGCGCATGATAAACAAGTTGTGAGCATTACACATTCCTTCCATAAATGCATATCGAGCTTTTGGCTTTAAATGAATTCCTTATTTTCAATTCCACAAAATTCACAAGCCTGTGTTATTTATTAAAAGACTTAATCAGGGTTATTTTGTTATTATTTCTTCTTTGGTTATGGTTTCTTTTCTTATTCAAAGGATGTTTGAACATTCCCTCCATTGTCTATTTTATAAAACAATTCATCTAGAATTTACTATTGTGCAGGTCTGATTCCCTTAATGCTTTCTCTCACTTTATCTCCTTAATTTTTATAGACTTCAGTTATTATATAAATTGCACAAGTTCTAACTTATTCAGCAGAGTGATCCAAATATTTGATAGCAACATCCATTACAGGATTATAAGGAACTCTTTCATTATTAATTTTATATTTTTAGATTAAATTGTAAATGAGCATTAATCTGGCTTAGATGTGTCTGACAGATGATAATTGTAAATTTGGTTTTGTTGTAATCCCTTTTACTAAATGGTTGATCACTCCAGCACTTCCCATAATCTAGGTTTCAGCTAAAGTCAATAGAATCTTTTTGCATTCTTCTTTGTGTCTCTCATTAATATCACCCATTTTCTCCATGAGAATCTAATGTTATGAAAATAATCTACCAATACGATATTATCCAATATTATAGGACTTTCGTCATTTAATTTGTTCGGTTTCAATTTAAGAAGGGTTTATTGCATTAATTAAAGACTTGCATACACTACTTTGTCGGCTTTATCTTAAATGCCTTTGTAGATCAACAATAAGGTAGCTTAAAAGGCTCCGTCAATATTGGATAAATTGATTTAAGTTGGATTGTTAAATTGTTCAATTAGCCAACGAATGCCTTCTTCTCTACGAGCCCAGTTCTTAGAGAAATAGTTTTTGCAAAAGTCCATTCCATAATAGGGTTTGATAGCTTCAACTTATTTCTAATTTTCAGAACTCAATTCTTCAATTTGTTATTTACTTTTATCTACTTCAGAGTACTCTTCTAAAATCTAGGTATTATTATTTTATTTATTTTTTAAAGCTGGTATTACCATCTCATCATAATTTAACATCTTTTCATTTTTAAGTTATTAATCAAAAGAAGTAGGTTATTAATAACTTGTATTTACATTCTCGTTTTAATTATTTGTAATATGAGTAATGTTATTGTTATTATTCAATTATTCAATTAAATAAGTTTATTCATCTTGAGGCATTTTATCGAAACTATCCTCAATTATCTTATTATTATCTAATTATTTGATTGATGGTTTTGAATTTCTCCTAACCTCATAGTTATCTGCTTACTCACCTAATTCTTGCTGCCTGATCTTTTCAATATTGGGTTTATACTCATTTCCTTGTTCATCTACAAGTCCATTCTCAATTTTCAATTTATAAATTTGCTCTTTGATAACTTCTGCCTAATCATAATCCTCATTTTATAACACTTCCTTTTTCCTCTCCTCCAAATCCCTCAATTAGACTCCCAATGATCTGAGTTGGGTAATTCTGTTTTTGAGTTTTTTGGCTTCTTAATAGTTTTCCTACTTGATTGCATAATCTTTGGACTCTCATATTAAGGAATACTTTACATGTTCAAGTGCAATAATGTGCGCCAACAATTTAGTGTCAATCAATTTATCTTATTGCGGATTGTATAATTCATCCAAGACCTTATCTTAGACCTTACTTATCTTTTTTGGAGGAGGAAGTTCTGCCTTATCCCCATAAATTCTGATTGCAACAACACCAACTTGATTAAATGGATTAAACTTATTTTCATGATTGCGATGCACCAATAGTTTTAGATAGTTGCAATTAGATTCATCAATTGATACTGTTTTGAGCTCTCTGGCTTACCAATTTGATTGTTCGTTGGAATGAAATGTGAAATAGCCAATCTTTTTAAAACTTGCATTTTCTAAATCCATTCTCCCCTACAGTCTTCCTATGAAAACCTCTATCTTTGTAGGTATTTTCTTCTCGTGAGATAGAATTTGCATTTTATGAACGGTTATGGCAGATTAGAATTGCAATATCAACTCTTATGGATATTGGCAAAACCTACAACTCTGCCAGCCCAAAGGAGTCGATGATATTTCCAATAAATTTGATGGGGGAAACTATGGATCTTGACTTTAGGCGTAGGGTATTGTAAAGGTTATAAATCTAGTATTTTTTGGTTAATTCATTTAATAATTATATATATTCAATATCAATTAAATACTTTTTTGTTCCTTATTACTTCCAAATCCTCTTCCTCTAATTATTTCTTCTGCAATTAGCAATACCGAGGTAATATCTGAGTAAAATGATAAAACTCCGATTTCCTTATTATCTGTTTTATGCATATTTCGTCTCTTAACACCCTAATTACTCTATTCCCTCGAAGTGTAGACACAATAAAATCACACCAACATAATTCAGTAATCAGCAAATATACTTACACTTAATAATAATGCTAATGATTCCTTTTCAATTAATGAACATTTTATTGATCCACAAATATATAATCTAATAAGAAATTTTCATCTTGATTCATATTAAGTTCCTTCTTTATAAAGGGAGACTTGACTTCTACCAATCCTATTAAATTATTATTCAAATCATAAACTAAAGCGTCAGGCTTTCCACATAAGTAGGGATAGGATATGTTGAACAGAACATCTGTTTATTTCAATTAAATATCAGGATGCAAACGAGCATATTCATTTAAAGCTATCTTTTCATGTGCTTCGCCATGCTTTTGGGCTTCATTTGAAGGTGAACTCTTTTTTTGATAATTCTCTTATTCGCAGATGTGATAAATTTAAGTGGCAGTTAATCTAAGTCCCGATTGATTTTTTTATTGATAATTTTGTATTTCTATACATTATTTATCAATTTACTTTCCTTCTACAAGTAATTTGTTAAGAAAAAACTCCTCAATTGATTTTATGTCCTCTTCAGGCAATTTCTTTTTATCTACTAAATTAGTCTGATGAAATTATTTTAAAGCAATATAACAACAATGTTATTTGTTTTGTTTCTCAACACCATTTCTATTATATATCCATTTCTTATTTATAGATATTCTTTCAATATTCTCAATAGATACTTAAAAGAATGTTTCAAATAGCTATTTTATCTAATCGCTCACTTAGTCATTTAAATCTAATTTATTTTTCATAATTTTTTTCATGGTGTTTACATTTTATTTGTTTGAAGTATAAAAATCATTGGGATCCTTCATTTCATGATTCTTAACATTTTAAAAGAAGTTAGTAATAAATACATCTCTGTACTTAGATCTCTTAAGTTGCTTAATGATATACCTAGGAATTAAGATTTCTTCACTCATTCTATGTACAAATATCTAATCTAATGAAAGACTACATAATATCTCTTACTCATCTTTAGGCTTTATCCTTGATAACATTTCTTTGAGCTTCTGAGTCACACTTGTGAGAAACCCTTAGCTCTTTGAGGATAGAGTATTTAATTCAACCAATTCGAATTCTGTGCATTCTATTTTTGCTGAGCCATCATTAATATATATAAATGATAAGTGCTTATCTTTATCCAAGGAGTAGAAACAATACTCTTAGAGATTAATTTGATCAATTTGTTTGAATATTAGATACTATTTGCACAGGTTATCCATTTATTTAAATTATTTATTTTTATAATTCTATTAAATAATTCTTCTCAATATAAAACCAAAGAATTAACCTAATCATGTTCCTATTCTAAATTCCATATCTGTATTAACCCAGGTTCCTTCTCAAAATTTATTTCTTCTCTCTTCTCATCTTAAAAATCAAAATCTGAATTTTAGGACAGTGAATATCTCTATTTTATTAAGCTTCCTTAAAATGGAAAATAAATCTCTAGGGTTATCTCATTAGTTTCAAAAACTACAGAATTAATGAATGGGCNCTATTAAATTATTATTCAAATCATAAACTAAAGCGTCAGGCTTTCCACATAAGTAGGGATAGGATATGTTGAACAGAACATCTGTTTATTTCAATTAAATATCAGGATGCAAACGAGCATATTCATTTAAAGCTATCTTTTCATGTGCTTCGCCATGCTTTTGGGCTTCATTTGAAGGTGAACTCTTTTTTTGATAATTCTCTTATTCGCAGATGTGATAAATTTAAGTGGCAGTTAATCTAAGTCCCGATTGATTTTTTTATTGATAATTTTGTATTTCTATACATTATTTATCAATTTACTTTCCTTCTACAAGTAATTTGTTAAGAAAAAACTCCTCAATTGATTTTATGTCCTCTTCAGGCAATTTCTTTTTATCTACTAAATTAGTCTGATGAAATTATTTTAAAGCAATATAACAACAATGTTATTTGTTTTGTTTCTCAACACCATTTCTATTATATATCCATTTCTTATTTATAGATATTCTTTCAATATTCTCAATAGATACTTAAAAGAATGTTTCAAATAGCTATTTTATCTAATCGCTCACTTAGTCATTTAAATCTAATTTATTTTTCATAATTTTTTTCATGGTGTTTACATTTTATTTGTTTGAAGTATAAAAATCATTGGGATCCTTCATTTCATGATTCTTAACATTTTAAAAGAAGTTAGTAATAAATACATCTCTGTACTTAGATCTCTTAAGTTGCTTAATGATATACCTAGGAATTAAGATTTCTTCACTCATTCTATGTACAAATATCTAATCTAATGAAAGACTACATAATATCTCTTACTCATCTTTAGGCTTTATCCTTGATAACATTTCTTTGAGCTTCTGAGTCACACTTGTGAGAAACCCTTAGCTCTTTGAGGATAGAGTATTTAATTCAACCAATTCGAATTCTGTGCATTCTATTTTTGCTGAGCCATCATTAATATATATAAATGATAAGTGCTTATCTTTATCCAAGGAGTAGAAACAATACTCTTAGAGATTAATTTGATCAATTTGTTTGAATATTAGATACTATTTGCACAGGTTATCCATTTATTTAAATTATTTATTTTTATAATTCTATTAAATAATTCTTCTCAATATAAAACCAAAGAATTAACCTAATCATGTTCCTATTCTAAATTCCATATCTGTATTAACCCAGGTTCCTTCTCAAAATTTATTTCTTCTCTCTTCTCATCTTAAAAATCAAAATCTGAATTTTAGGACAGTGAATATCTCTATTTTATTAAGCTTCCTTAAAATGGAAAATAAATCTCTAGGGTTATCTCATTAGTTTCAAAAACTACAGAATTAATGAATGGGCTCTGAATTAAATCGATATTTGTCATATACATTGAAGTTACTAATTCAAATTAGAAGTAATTGGAAGTATCAGTTTGTAAATTGATTTGTTGCATATTAAGTAGAAATTTTCTATGGCTAATTTGATGTGCATGTCTTTGAAAAGAATATAGAATATTTTTATTTTTAACGTGAATGAAATCATCTCTAAAGTAAATTGGAGACTAGATTAAGTGTCTTTTTACTATAGTTGTAGGAGAATTTTTAGATGTTAGTAGAGAGGCTAGATTGTATTAAATGATTTCCTGATTTATAATGAAGTAAAAGTATTATGAGTCCAAAAAATATGGCATAAAAGGCTTATTAATTTGGTATTCAATCGACTCTATCATAAAGCTACTAATTATGTGGTATTATTTATCATGTTGAATAGAATTCTCTATTTCAGAAAAGGAGCATTTGTGAATTTCCACTGTCTATAAATATTGATTTATTCTTATAATTATGACGATTTTTTAGACAGAAAACACTAATAGAGTCTCACAAAATTCATGAGGGCCCAGCTTTCTTCCAATATTGTAATTTGTGAAAAACTTGACTATTCTCTTCACTTTTTCTGGTTCATTGATTCGTTTTAGTTCGTAAACTTTAGCTATCCTGTCATGTATCCTGAATTCCATCAATAGAATTAAATTTTATATTTATTAAGCCTTATTTCCTGGGTTTAAATCAGATTTCTGTAAGACGTCTGAATTTAATCCCAATTTTATTAATAAGTGTATGGTGAATAATTTTAAAACACTCATTAATATTCAGATATGATTCTACAGTTTGATCTTGGAGCCTTTCTTTAAATTAATTTATATTAGTCTCAAAAACTTTAAGAACTCTTTAATCATCAGGCGTAAATTGAAGCATTATAGGTAGAACATATAATTGAAAGATTCTAGTATGAATATCTTATCTGATTAGAGGTTCATCTAATCTAAACTAATTTAAGATATCGATAATTATTTAAATACTTTTTGTAGAATATTTTTTTTTATTTATAATGAATTCTTGTAAAAAATAAGGTATAGAATCCGTAAATATTAATAAAAGCATATACTAATGAATAATAAATTTCATTTGACTTTTTTATTCGATTCTCCTTCTTTTTTGATAACATAGACTTTTGGCTCTTAGTCATCAGGATCATTGTAAACAAATTAATCATCTTCAAGACATTTAATTTTTTCTTCAGCATCCTTTTCTAAATTATTTTACTTGATTAGCTCATCAGTATATTAAACAACTTTATTTTCATATCTATCTTTCTCATATTTATATTCAGCCATTAATCTTCTTATCTAATAAATATAATAATTTATTACATTAATAACGTTGACTTATTACAATTCAGGATAATCATTTTTATCATCATCTTTTTTAGGGGTCTAATTTTTTGAGTCATTATTAGTTTTTCCAGGTTTTAATTTATTTGGATCATATCCATGTTATTTTAGTAAGCTTTCCAAATAAATAATATGAATTTTTAATTCATCTATTTGTTTTTCTAATTTAATTATTAATTCTTTATATTTAGTATCATTTTACGAACCTTGTTTTTTATCTGATTAATTTTATTTATCATTGGGATCATCTCTATTTTTGGTTGGGGTCTTTTATTTTTAATCATCAATTTATTTTTAAAGGTCTTTTATCTTATCTTCTTATTTTTTTATTTTTTCATCTGTTGTAGATTTCTCTTTTTCCAATTTAGATATCTAATCTTTTAATTTATTGTTTTCATTGGTTTAATCCTTAAATTTTTTATTTTCTTCCTCTTTTTTTTTGATTTCTTCTTGTTATTTCTTTATTATTTCATTTTAGTTCTTTTCATTTTACTTTTTCTCATTGGTTTCCTTTGAATCTTTTTCTATTTTTTCTTTCAGTTTTGAAATTTCTTCATCTTTCTTTTTAAGTTCTTATTCAGTTTTATTATTTTTTTCATCCTTTTATTTTGACGTATTAATATCTTTTTGTTGTTTTTGAATCTATTCCTATAACTTTGTAATTTATTAAGTCTTTTGGTCTATTTCTTATTTCAGTACCTTTATTTGTTCTAAATATTCTTTTTCTTTACTATTTTTTTCTGTTTTTTAAATATCCTCTTATAACTTTTTAATTTATTCATCCTTTTTCTTAATTTCTGTCTCCTACTTTTTAATTGTCTAATTCTCTTCCTTTTCTTTTTAGATTTTTTACTATTTATCTGTTGTTTCCTTCTAAATAAGTTCTTAACTTTTCTTGATCTATTCCTCCAGCTATTTGATTTATTAAGTTTTATTAATATTGTCTTATGTTAATTTTTCAATCTCTTTCTCCAATTATCTATATGTTTTCTATTCGTTTTTCTCCTTCTTTGATTCCTTTTCGTATTTCTTTTTGGTTTTATTATTATCATCCACATCAGCATCCTCTCCAAAATCTGCTATAACATCTTCTTCATCTTTCTTGACAGATTTTAATTTTTAATTTAGTTTATTTATTTACTCATTCAAACTTTTAATTTACTTATTTAAATCATCTATGATCTAATCTTTTTTATTTAATTTTTCTTGGGATCTCTCATTAATCTAATTGCACTGTTCTTCAAGTAATTTTAACTTCTTTTCATTATTTTATAAATTCTTAATGGTTTATTCCAATTAAGTATTTTATTGCTTTAATTTTTATGCTTTATCTATTTACTATTCAATTTCCTTGGAATTATTATGCTCTTGTTTAATCATTTCTGCTTTTAGTCTTTAAATTTCTTTTTCTAATTCTTTAATTGATTCCTTATATTTCCTTTCATTTGTATCACTTATTCTTCTGATATCTTCTTTTTCTATTTTTTAAAATTCATCACGTCTCTCCTAAAGTTCCTTAAGTTAACTTTATAAATCTTCGACTCTCAAATTTAATGATTGTAAATCACTAAGTAATTCTTTTTTCTATTCTTCCAATATATCTATTTTCTGTTATTAATTTATTTCTGATGACTTAACTTTCTAATTTACATTCTCTTTCTCCTTAGAAATCTTAGTAATTTATCTTTGATAATCCTCTATTTATTACTTTAATTTAATTATTTCTTATTCTAAATTTTGAATGGTTTCTTATTTTTCATCTAACACTTATTCATAATTTTTTATAGACTCTATAGTCTGCTTTTCGTACTCTTAATAGATTTTTATTTTTTGAGTTTGATCAGTAATTGTCTTATCCAAAGTTTTCACCTTTTCTTTCTATCTCAGATAATCCTTCTCAATTTAAACCAATCTTAAAATTTCAATCTCTTTTAGATTAATTTAATTCTCAATGTCAATCATTTTATCTATTTACTGTTATAACTCTATCTTATCTTGGATTAATTACTAAACTTATTTTGTTAGTTTAGATATTTATTATTAAAGTGTATTGATTGTTTGCTTTAGAGACTCTTCCGATTTCTCTTTTAATCGAATTTAATCATTCAATTCCTCTTTTTCTCTATCGATCAAATCTATCTAAGATATCTAACTTGACCTTTCTGAAATATCTTATTTGAATTATTTGATCTACTCTTTTTTTTCTTTAATTGAAATCTCTAATTTCTTTACCTGTTGTTATAACTTGTAAATATGTTCATCTTTAACTTTGATATTTAAATTAATTTATTCAATTTCATTACGCAATATTTTATGAGATTCTTCTTCTGATTTCAGCTTTTCTTATAATTGTTTTATCTGTTACTCAAGTTATTTAATCTATTTTTGATAAATACTGTTATCTGATTAGAGTTTCGATTCAATATTCTTCCTTGACTTTTACTCTTCTTTTAAGTCTTCAACTTCCTAAGTAAATTCAAAATGTTAAGCTTCCAGTTTTTCTAATTCAGCAATTTTTTCTTTTAATTTAGCAATAATGTCATCCTTTGCTTTTGCTTATTAATTTAATTTGTTTTCGAATTATTTCCTCTCATCTTCTAATTTCTTCTTTAAAAATTCAACTTCTCTTTCTAAACTATTTTTTTCATCTTCATTTATTTAAATTTATTCTTCTAATGACTTAATTTTTCTTTCAAGGGACTCTAAAGTTTATTTATGTTCTTCAATTAAATTTTATTATTTCTTATATTTTTCTTCTAACTTTTTCAATTATTGTACTTTATCTTCCAGAACCTAATTTTCTTAAGACTTTTTTTTATTCTCTAATTTTAATTTTTCAATCTAATTTTCTAATTCTTCAATTTTATTTTATTATTCTATAATTTTATATTATAACTATTCCTTATCTTATAATTTGGCTTAAAGCTTTTCGACTTCCCTCTAAATATCTTTAATTTAATCCTTCAATTTTTTCAATTCTAAATCTTTCAAAGCAAGTTATTACTCTAAAGTATTAATTTTTTCCTAACTTGTGCTTGCATTTTGTAAAGCTTCGTGCAACTATTACTCAGTTTCAATCAATTTCTTTTACACATTTATTAATTAATCTCCCTTTTTAGTAAATTCTCGTTGTTGTTCTTATAATTTTTTGATAGTTTAATCTTTAGATTATATAATAGCATCTTAATTAGTGATTGTTGAAATTTAATCATCAATTTTAACTTAATTGGTTTCATCTTTAATTTTGAGTTCACTTATTAGGATTTCGAGTTAAGTAGTTCTCTCCAATTTTTTTTAATATTCTTTAATTGTTTCTTAGAATTTTTTGAAATCTAACTCATAATTTCTTATTTTTTAAGATAATTCTGTAGTATCTTCTTTAACTTTAATTATTTCTGTCTCCTTCTCTATTATCTATTGATGTAATGAATCAATTTCTGATTAAATTTCAGGTGATTTCTAACTTCCCAACTTTTATTTCAATTTATTTATTTCAAATTCTTTTTCTCTTATTGTAAGTTAAAATTTCAATTACACTTCATTTAATTATTATTATGAAGAATGAAATTAATCATTAATTTATTCTATCATTTACTCTAAACTCTAAATCTTCTCTTATTATAACTTAATTTCATCCTACAACTTCTTAATCTCATGTTCCTTTGATTTTAATTAATTTTCTAATTTTTTTATAGTTTCTTTATTTTATTTATCTTACTATTATAATTCTCTTATCTATTGCGTTTCTAATTCTTCAATCTGGTTTTCTAACTTTGTAAGATTATCCTTCCAACTATCTTATTCAATCTCATGTTTTTTTATTTATTAATCTTTGTATTTAATTAGGTTCTCTAATTTGTTAATCTAATCTTAAAGTTATTTGATGCTTTATTCATATTTATTGATTTTTTGATGTAGTTCTTAAATTTCCTTTGTTAAATCATTCTCCCTATTTGAATTTTACCGAATGTCTTGTTATATTTCTAATAATTTCTTAATTTCTTGTTCTTTTAACTTGATTTAAGTCGAAAGGTTCTGTATTTAAATTTTAAGATCTGCATTTTCTCCAATTTATTAATTTAATTTATCATATAAATCATCTAGCTCTTATTATAACTTTGTTGTTCTTTCAGGAGTTCTCTAATTTCCTTAGATATTGCTCTATAATTTCTTGACTTCAATTTCGAAGATTCTAACCTACTCCTATAATTCTTCATTTTGAATTATGAATTTTCTAATTTCACTTGTTTTTTCTTCATTTAATTCCTTAACTTTATTTGTCATTTCTTTTGTTTATTCTGAGTATTTAGATAACTAATACTCTTTAGTTTTATGACTCTACTCTAGTTTATAAATATTCTCTTACTATTACTTATCAATAGAATTAAGTCTTTCAATTTCCTCTTTTAATGAATTAATATTCTCTTCATAATCTTTTAATTTTAATTAGTATAATTGCAAATCCCTATTCTTTTCCTTTAATCTCTTAATTTCTTATTCTTTAGTCTTGATTTCATATTCTTGTTATTAGATTTTTTATTCAAGCTCTTCGAATAGTTATGTTTAAGAATGAGCTTCCTAATGCAGCTTTTCAATTTGATCACTTTAATTATTGCTTTTCTCCAAAGTCTTGTTTAATTCCTTAATTTACTCTTGAAGTTTCTTTACTTCTTGATCTTTTACTCTAAGAGAATCTTGTAAATCCTTCATTTAATCTTCAAAGAAGTTAATCTCATCTTGCATCTATTTATTGATTTGTTCTATCTTCTTTTAATTGGCCAATAATTCATCCTTTTACTTTTACAGTGCCTTCTAATAATCAGCCTCTTTTTTTGATTATTTTTTTTCGTTCAATTTATTATCCTAATCATAGTTTTCAATCTCAAGCATTAAATCCTAAATTTTTTATTCTAATTCTCCAAGTTTTTTTTCTAATTATTTATTTTCTTATTCTAATTTGTACTATTTGTTCAATTAGTCTTTTAATTGTCGAATTTCTTTTTCTCTTAATTCCAGCAGACTTAATTAGGTATCTTTTTCATTTATTAGAGCTTCTTATTGATTGATTCTAAAAATTGCCTAATTCAATTCTTATTATAGTCTTTAATTTTCAGCCTTTAAATTTGCAATAATCTTTTGATAATCTTTTATAGAGTCCTCATCCTCCTTTTTTTTAGCACCTTCCAAACCATGCTTCTTCTTCTTTTTCTCCTCATTAGGATCTTTTTAATCAAAATTATCCTCTTCCTATTAGAAAACATCAGCAGCATTCTTGGTTGCATCTCCAGGATTTCTTTAATTCCTATTAGCATTATTTTAATTTTAATTAAAAGAGTTACTTGGACTTTTATTTGGATTTTTTGGGGAAATGGGAATCTAAACATCATTTGATTATCTATTTTAAATTTTTTTGGTTAAGTCCTTAATAATATTCTATAAGTCTTCAATTAAATGGTCCTTCTCGGACAATTCATTTTGAATATATTACATTCTAGTTTTATATCCTTCAATTTCTATTTTGTATTATATCAATTAAACCTACAAAGTTTCCATCTCTATCAGCGCACTTTGATTTTAACCTTGATTCATTTGATCATCTTTCTCAATAATTATTATTCTCAATTATTCAATTTTCTCTTATAACTCTTTTATTATTTAACCATAGTACTCCTCAGTTTCAGTTATTTACCTCTTATCACTGCTTGGATCAAACTGTTTAACTTATTTATTATTTGAAATTTGAATAATTTATTGTGTGAGTATTTCAATCTCTTAATCTCTTTCTCTCAATAGTTCTTCATAATCAACAGTCCCTTAAGCATTATCTCTATCTAAAAGTCTTTTGGTTATCAAATCTAATTCTTATATCAATTGTTAGTTTTGCTCTTCCAATTACTTCAATTTATTAGACTAAATAAATTAATTGTTTATCATACATTTCCACTTTTCTCCACAATATCTAGCTTAATTTATAAGTCTTCATTATATCTTATTTTAAAAGAATTAACCTCTTTTTGTTTTTCTTGCAGCAACAATTTGAGTTATGTGATTTCTTATTCGTAATCAATTATGGTCTTATCATGAGTTGAATGCTATCTTGTATTTCTTTTAATTCTTTCAAGTTAATCGCAAAGTTCAATATTAAGTCTATTCAGATCCTTATTTTCTTTATAGAGCACATCAATATTTCCCTTTAGCTATTCATTCTCAGCAAGTGCTTCTCTAACAACAGCATTCTAATAATGAGTTCATTATATACGAGTTTATCGTTAGCTCTCAATAGTTATTTGATTTTTATTTCATAATCATCCTATGATTAGTGTGAAAGGGCTGGCGAAGCAGTTGGATCATAATTTCTATACATTATAAAAATATTTTGAAATAAATTTATTCAATAAAACAGTTGAGATGGAATAGTTTAGTTTAGATTGAAAACAATTTTATTTAGCTTCAAAATCCTAGTAATTTTATCTAAAGCATAGCTAAGTGCCCAGGATTGATTGTCTTTCTCGTAGTCTTATTCTTAAAAAAATCAATTATCAAGCATTATCAAAGGGATTTAGTGATTAAATATAAGCATTTGTTATTTTTGTACTTTTAAGCCATGTTTTGTAAAAAGTTAACATTAATCTTTTACATTTTCTCATTACTTGAAAATCGATTATTATGAGAGTGAGAAAATTCACCATTTATTTCTAAATATCAATAATAACATTGCAGTATGGTTGTTCATTCATTAACTCTTTTCTCTTCTGAATTAGTTAGAATTAGAAGTTTAGAAGCTGCTTCTAAAAAGTAATGATTAAATCGAGAAATTCAATAATTTAATAATTATTTTTATATGAAATCACATTTTTTACAATTCATTCTCTTTAATTTTTGGAATTTTTGATCTTATTAATCTAAAGAGCTTCTTCCATTTTCTTTAAGGGATTGGTTTCCACTAATTTCTCAATTCAAAAATCAAAATTGCAAATCCTAATTATAAACAAGTAAAAATAGTAGCTAATGTAGAATATTTGTAAAAATTCATCTCGGTTTTGGTAATCATAAAATAAAACATGATTGTTCTTAGAAAGCTTGATTTAAAAGACAACATTCCACACACCATTGTTAAAGTTTGTTTCTTATTCATGATAGCATATAAAGCTAGAATGTGTTATATAAATGCAATCAAGTCAGCTAAAGACAATCCAATTGTTATGTAAATGTACTTATCTTAATTCTCTACCCAATAATCATCTGACATTAATAAAGAATAAAAGCAGACTAAGTATAATAAAATTGCACCAGTCATTATAAATTTTACGATAAAAAGGCATCTTCCCAATTTGATAACATTCCTATATTCCTTTTTATAATTAACTTTATTGTTTTCTAAAAATTCATTCTTTTCAAGCTCTTATTTACAAGTATTCATAAAGCGATTTATTAATAAAATAATCATTTGTCATCAAATTTAAAAATTAAATTAAGAGAATTTTTTTTATTAATTGCCTTTTATTTATATTTAACACTAGAAAAATAAAGAATGCTTTGTATTTGTTAATATCTCTTCAAAGCAAAGAGATTTGACTTTTTACCTTTCAATTAAATTTTAGTTTGAATTCTGATATTTTCTTCGTTTTTCAAGCAAATATCAATAAGTGATAGATCATAATATTAATGAAGATTTAATTTATTTTCTTTTCAACTTTGAATTATATGTGAAGTAACAATATTCTAAGGAAAATGAATTGCTGAGGTTATATTTTGATTAATTTCTATATTATTAGAATATATTTATAAATGCCTGTAATATAAAAACAAAGTACTTTTAAGAAAAAGAATTTTAAAGAAAAGGTGAACTAGTTCAGAAAAATAGTATTCATTTTATTAGAAGATCCTTCATCAAGTAGATTGGCAGGCTTAATACAGTATATCATTTGTTTTACAATTTTGCTATCTTAAGTTTAAATACTTTGTGATTCGCTATTTGATAAGTAATTGAATTAATTTGAGATAGTAATTAAACCTATAATGATTTAAGCAATGATTGTGAAATCCTTATTTTTGTTGTTTTTGTTCTAGAATATCTGTTTCGATTGTCAACATACACCGTTTATGGCTATCCAATTAAGAAGTTCTTATTTTAACATATGAATCTAATAGGTAGATTAAGTATTAATTATAGATCTATTATCAATTGCTCCTCTTAGTATAATTTCATTAATGTATGGTAAAACTGCATTAAATGGATTGAGAATTTTGAAATTGTTTAAAGTGATCAGAATATTAAAAGTCAAGAGGTACTTGAAAGGAGTGGATATTTTGTATAAAAGTGTTGCAGATAGCATATCTCAGTTTTATTTTTTGATAATAGCTTTTTTATAAATCACACTTGCTTATGCGATAGTTTTATATTATTCGGAGCATACAGAAAATGATTTAGAAATTGAAAATGCAGTTTGGCTGGGCATAGTCACCATGACAACTGTGGGATATGGTGACTATGTCCCAAAGACCATAATTGGTATAATAACCACTTGTATTATGGCTTTGATGGCTAACACAGTAATTTTCTCTCTTCCTGTGGCAATACTCAATATAGAATTTCAAGAACTTTATGGAAGCAAAAAAGAAGAAGAATAGATTAGCATGCTTAAAAAGGGAATGAGAACTGGAAGAAGGGATTCAATAAAGAATAAAGAGTTTAGTTTCTTTAATTAAAGATTACAAATTATTGAATAAAGAAATAAAGAGATTCAGGAACTATTAAACAAGAGTAATAAAATGGCTAAAGAACTGACTAAAGATTTGAAGAGGTTGTTTCTATCAGTTAATGATGATGCAGATTAACTTCTTGATAATTTAAATTCCCCCAGACCTACTAAATAAAATGTATTGTTAGTTAAGGCTAATCTTTATGATAAATTAATCAGGGCTAAAAAGAAAATTTAAATCACAAGCATCTTCAGGAATTTAAAATAAGATTCAGATTAAGAATTAAATGAGAGTCCCTTAAATCAAACTGTATCTGGTTAGATAAACAAACAAAAAAGCTTTTTTAGAATGATGTCTGATAGAAAGCAAAACAAAAGAAAAATAGGAATAAAAAGTCACTCTTCTGAAAATATCAATTAATTAATTGTACTCAGGAATGAAGAGTATGGTGAGTTACCTTTTGACTTTTTGAATGAAGTGCTTTTATAAATTCATGATGATATGTTTTTAGATGTTGATGAACATCCTACGAATTAATAAAAGCAATCTATTATCATACCTGATAGTAGTGAAATAATTAATAGAGAACCATCATTTAGAATCAATTCATTATAGTATAATCTATTATTATATCTTAAGTGGTTTTGACAGTCCTATGAATAAACTTAATTAAACAAATTGTGGAAGCTCGAATCAACAGAGACGTAAGATTTCTGATTTTGCAAGTTTATTTGACAAGAAAACTGTTATTAATTTAAAAAGTACTTCTATTCGTCCTTTTTCCTCTAATGATTGTGGGTTGAGAAGTATTACTGAAATATCAAAGGCCAAAAAGAAAAACTCATATACTAAACAGTAAATTGATGAAATGCATTAAAGAACTAAGCCTAAGACACCTCATTAATTTGTTAATTCTAACAACAATCTTAAAGATCTAGATAGTGGTAAAAATAAAGATGAGTTTCGATAAAAATATTCTAGAGCATCAATAGTGGAATTATATTCTCCTCATCAATACTTAAATATTTAAGAATAATGTTCTTGTCTTGAATGTCAAAACTTTAATATTGAATAGAATTATTGACTATTTTATTGTTTTATTATAGATCAATACTTTTCAAATTAATATAATTATTTTAACTATTTTGTAAATTAATATAATAAGGTATACTTATTTCGATATAAAATATGAACTCCTTCCTCCTTGATTTTACATGGCGATGATGTAAATATTAGAATTCTCTTGTATCACATAAATGAAATATTAAGATTATCAAATAAATATATATTATTCAAGAGTCTACTTAATCTTCAAATCTAAACAAACTTCTAATATGTTAAGTAAGAATTCTTCTGTTGAATCTTGTCTGAGTATTGCGTTTGTGTGATCTCATTTTCTCATTATATTTTTTTGAACTTCCTTTATGTTTTTTAGATATATGTCCCCCAAGGGCTTTATAATTCTTAAATTTTTATAGGCAATATTGACATTAGTTTATTTATTTTCTAGTTTTTCTTGGATAACTTTCACTCTACAATTATTAGCATGAATCAACCATTTTTGGTTTAGTTATTAAAGAAAGCTATTAACAGGGTTGATTCTCTTCAATGCCAGTCTGAAATATATGCCATTACTTGTTTGCAAAGTTGAGATGATTTTTCCTATTTAATTATAGATTTTAATGAGGGTTTATGTTATCCATTTTAAAGTAATATACAAAATATTGGAGTTATTAATAGTAAAATCAATTGATATTTTTAATCTAACTTTTTATGACTTTTTATTGTTTTTATAAAAATAATATTTTATAGGGCAAAAGCTAATCTAAGTTACAACAGGGCCATTTTCTTAAAAATCAGAAAGCTCCCATAGTTTAGTTTTTATTATAATATAAAAATGAATTATTTCTAGCATTTGCTTTTAGAATAAATTAAAATGCCTAATTTTCTAATAATATTGATCTATGTATGTGTAAATATGGTTAAAACTAATAAATTAAGGATTAAGAATCTATGTATTTGATAAATTTGTAGAAGATGTGTAATTATGAATCTCATAAATTATAAATGTTTAATGAAAAGAATTGAGTGATTAAATTAACAGGATATTTAGATACTTCATAACTAATTATGGTTTTAGGATTTGAATAAAAATACTAACTATTAGACTAATCTAAACGGATAATCAATGAAAGCCTTTAAGAAAGTGGTATTTTGGAATTCATTTTTTTGGTGTCTTAAGTTTAATCCTATTTTAAATATAAATAAATTAATTCAGATATGTTTTTAAGGAACAGATTGCATTCTCTACGCAAATTAGCTTAATTTTGCACAGCTGAAAGTGTATCAGGAAAGAAGAGCCCAACAACTTAAGCTCAATAGACAAAAGTAGAGAGAAATTTCTAATTGCAATTCTCAAAGTCAGCATTAGTGGACTTTGGAGAATTGCCAACAGGGGAAATTCCTGAAGCCTTGAAGTACGATAGACCTTAAGGTACACAATTATAATGAACTTTAAGCCTTGACTCAATTAGACAGTGGTCTCAGAGTAGTGTCTGAATAATACAATTCGCCATTGGCTTCAATTACTGTAGCAGTCAAAGCAGGATCGAGATTTGAAACCTTAGAAAGTTCTGGAGTATCAAACTTCATTTCAAAATTAAACTTGAGAGTAGGAATAAATATTCATTCTAGGGCACAACAACAAGATCAAGAGAATAAGTTGAAGCAGAAATCGATTATTTGGGAGGATCATTAAAAGTGAAATAAGGTAGAGAATTATAGACTTATACCCTCACTTTTTTGCCATCAGAACTAGAGAGAGCAGTAAGCTTTTTGGGGGACATTTTGACAAATTCATTATATTCACCAGCTTAGATTGAAGCAGAAAGAGAAGGAATCTATAGAGAATCAGTTAGCATCAATGATTAATACAGAGTTGTTGCTGAAGCTGCTCATTACACAAATTATAGAGATCATTATTTGGGATAACCAACAGCAGGAATCAGAGATAACATTCCAAATGTTACAGAAGAATAAATTAGATAATTCCATAAGGCTAATTTTGTTGCACCAAATGTAGTAGTCTCAGCTGCTGGCAATGTAAACCATGAGGACTTTGTCTCTGCAGTCAATAAGGCATTCAAAGGATTAGGTACATCTGTTCCAACTGAAGTACCAAACTCAGAAAAACCATATGCTACTCCATCCATTATGGTATTCACATTTTATTAATAGTGTAGTTAATGAAAGATGATGAATTAACAAATTTGAATGTTGGTGTTTTCTTCGATGCTCCAGGATGGAATCACCCTGATGTTTTTGCTCTCCATTATTTCTAAAGACTTATTGGTGATTACAGAGCTGACAAACACACAGGATTCCATTTGAATGCTCCAAGCAGATAATACAACACTATGCATTCACTTCTTGGTGGATTACCTGATGTCACATACTAAAGATGCGTTTATTACGCATATTCAGACACTGGTCTTTTTGGAAATTACTTGATTGGTAATGAAGTCTTTGCAACATAAATGGCATATGTCAGTCAAATGGTTTTATCTGATTATGCTTCATCAGTAGGATAAGTTGAAGTTTTCAGAGCTAGAGCTAAAGTGTTTAATGAATTATTGAGTTAAGAAAGTTCAGCCAAATAATCAAGAGAAATTGCTTAATAAGTTTTGTATCTATATTTTAGTAAGATTTAGCTATTGGGGAAGAAGAGTGCCAAGAAGTGAATTTGCTAGAAGAATCTCTGCTCTTGATGCTGGTCATTTGACTAGAGTTGCTACAAGACACTTCTGGGATAAGGTAATCATTCTGTTTAAATAAATAATAGGATATTTCTGTTGTTGTATGGGGTCCTACTCACTTGTTAGATGCTGTTGCTCATTACAATAGATCATGGAAGAGGAGCACTTTGGGTGGATATGCTTAACCATACTATGAGGGTTGATTCATTAAATAATAAATATAAAGTTTATTCAATTATGTTTAACTCTTGTTCTCTCTTTGTAATTTATTCTGAAGAGTTGTATTGGATTTTTAAATTAACTATCAATTTATAAGGTAATCTATACTTTTCAATAGAAGCTTTTTTTAAAAAGCTGCATTTGTCATCAAGACAAGGACTTTCATCCTCATTCATTTAATCTGAACTCCTAACAGTAAAATCCATAATTGATGGATTGTTCATGAGTCCCAATTGCAATTCAACAATGGAATTATAACAATTGGGTTTGACATCCAAACTTAATTTATGAACAACTCTAATCTTATTTTGTGCAGAAGTACTTCGTTCTGCTTATTTTGGAGTGTTAATTTCATTATGAAATGATCCAAATCTCACATTTCTTTGATATGCTATCATACAACTGACCTCTGGTTGAATGTCACTGTATTGTTAATTTGACTCATTAAATGAACTTGTGCTTTTGTGTCTTAAATTTAATTTGCTTTCACAAGGCACAAGATTTAAAGAGTTGTTAGCAATGGAGAATCTCCCATTTGACTCTCTCTTTGATAATCCAGTATCATCAAATTCTTCACTTTATTTTTACTTCTTAGGTGAATAGATTTATTAAATTAGATGTGATTAATCCATAACTTTAATGGATTACTGCTTTTTAGGAGAAACAGATCCGGATTTTCTATCTTGATTATTTTCATCTAACCAATCAAATCTATATTCAGCTTATTGCTAAATAGCCACTCTTCTCAATAGTTATTAGAAGTATCTAAATTATCTATATTTTTACTTATAATCAGGTTTCTCTCTATAACTCATCTTTTTTACTAAATCTATGAATTTCATAAATTCATTTGGCAAGTCTTGGCATAATTCCTGAGATGAAATTCTCATTTTCATTAATCCTACTATTTTAACTTTTTCTTCTTCGTTTTTATAATCTACATTTTACCACGGCAAACTTCCCTTCAATAAAAATCTCTTTATTGTATCAATATTACATTAACATATAACCTAGTGATTCAAGATCATCTTTTCTTGATAACTCGTACCCTTTATGTGCTGCTATGCTTGCATATCTTGAAGTTCCTAGGAATGGCTTGTTGTCTTTGAATGGACTATTGTTAACTTAGTTTTTATACATATGTTTATCATCTTTATCTTTAAAGTGTTTCGCAATTCCAAAGTCAACCAAATATATTAAATTCTTCTCTTTCTCTTTTCCAACCAATACATTTTCAGGCTTTAAATCTCGATGAATCACACCCCTGGCTTCAATAGAAAATGTACTTATTGTGAATGTTTTCAAGTATAGTTAGCATCTAATCTGCAATACTCAAAACACAAGGCAGACTAAATCGTTTTCTCTATCTCATATAATGAGTAAGATCTCTACCCAACAGCTAAATTACCATTACATTATTCCCTTAATCCTTTCCTGCCCATTTCAACCTAGGAACTTACTGCACTCCCTATACTGATCTCAGTATTTGAATCTAATGATATGCCTATTACTCAACCTCTCTATCTAAACTCAATAATTCATCCACCTCTAACTTTTCAACCTTAATTGCCACATGGTCTGATGAGCGCAAATCAACTCCTTAATACACCACACCAAATGAACCTGAAGAAATCCTTTTTTTTACAACAAATTAATTATTGAAGATCTTTTATTGCACTCCAGCCATTTAATTTTATATTTATAAATACTAGTAATAGTCATTAATCTTAATTAAATACTCTAGAGTTCATAATCATTAAAGATTCTCCTCATTTTCAGATTAAATAAAATTTATATATCTAAACTCAATAAGGTGAAAAGTAATAAATAACACATAATTAATTTATCAAAATCTAAAATTCTTAAAATAAAGTTAAATAAACCTTAAATAGATAAATATATGTTTCCTTTTTGAGTTAAAAAACATAGAAGAACTAAATTAAATCTAAATCCATTTTTGCGATTTTATTTTAAGGAGGTTATTATAAATAATCTCTATTTTTAATTTCAAATGTGGGATAATCATTATAATTCATTTTATAAATGCTTTAAACGATAAATTAACTTTCATTCAGAATTATCGTTTCCAAACAATGAGAAAACTGAAAATTTGAAATTTCAAAAAAGGAATTTAACTGTGATAAAAAGGTGACAAAATTTCAATTAGTTAAGTACATTTTTAAATATTTATTATTTCTCAATATGGAAAAAGTAGTTTCTCTATTAAAATTAATAAATTCTTATAAATTGACTGCGATAGTAAGATTCATAGTTTTGTTTTTTATGAACACTCATCGTTTTCATCGTTCAAAGGCCAATTGAGCTAAACTAACCTATAAATTTTCTTTTTGATGCAAATTAATTAATATCAAAGCTATAACATTCATTCTTTCAAAAATAACACCTTTCAGTAATTAAGGGATCAAACCAAATATTAATTTTAATAAAGTAATGAAATTCATTGTAATCATTAGGTTGTAATTCTAATGTTCTTACATAGTAATGAATAATCTTATTTAAAAAAATTAGAATAATTTAATTACAGCTGAAAAAAAAAAAGTTAAAAAATATGATAGGTTGAATCATGTCTTTTTTAAGTTACTGAAATTTTAATGCTGAAAATAGATGTCAAATCTATGATTAGATCTAATATTTCTCAATAAATAAACTATTCAGATTATTTTAAATCACAGAAAAAAAAGGTTTGCATTAGACTAAATAATTGGATTTCCATAATTATTAATATAATTAAGTTGGATTTAAATATCTGTATTTTGGAAATCTTTCATAAAAAATAAAAGAATAGACTTCAATTTTGAGTATAAAGTAGGACTTAATTAATTATTACCAAGAGAATACTAAAATAGATGTTAAAATATTAAGAATTATCATTTGAGATTGTTTAAGTCAGAAAAGAAAGAGCTAGTAAATGACTAACAAACAATAAATAGATTAAGAAACAATGCAAAAGTTAATTTAGTTCATAATAAGGATGATTGTACTTTGAAAGCCATTTTAATTAAATTATTTGTAATGAACAAGGTTATTTATTTATGTAAAATCATCATTAATTTTATTCTTCAAATATTCCTTATTAGAATATTGGTTCAGGATTATTTTATTTAAGCACTCTGTGTGGATCTTCAAGAGCATTTTGATCTAAATATAACTTTTTTAGGGAATTTAATTATTTTAATTGCACTGGGAGAGATGTCAAATGATTGTCTCTTAAACTTAACAATTTTAGCTTTTGTAGCTTATCTACATTTTATGGGATTCTGAATATTTCATTGTTTGATAAATCTAACAAAACTAACTCAGTTAAAGATGTAAATCTATCAATATTTGATAATTAATTCTTAGCCATATTTAATTCTTGCAAAGATGTTAGTTCAAAGAATTCATTTTCAATATTATGATCTTGTAAATTGCAGCATGATGCATGAAATACTTTTAGGTTAGTTAGGTTTTTAATGCTTTATGGTATTATTTAAATTTTGTTATTCGAAATAATCAGAATTTATAGGTTATTTAAACTCAGAATCTATTCATAAATAGTAGTGACTCCTCTATTTCTTATTGATATCAAATTTGATATTTTTGCTTTGTCAACAATGTCTTTTAATTCTTAAGGATTGATGAATTTTTCTGATGCCTGATTTTATTATGGAATTCCCCCGTATTGTTGTAATTTAGCAACTAAATCTTTTTCTTTCTCGTCTTCCTTTGCCTTAAGTTCCTCCTTTTATTGTTTAGCCTTATCAAAAGCCTCTGTAATTTCTGAATCACTCAAGCCTAATTTGGAAATGGATTTTACCTTTTTTCTTAAGAAATTTTTCTAATTCTGATCTAGGTACATTTTGTAGATTTGGTGTATTTATGAAGTTGATGGCGACTGCTATCCTTTTATCTTTCTCATCCTTCTCTTTGTCCTATTTAGTTTATTTAGACATTTAATTATAAATAATTATGATAATCACATAATTTTTATTATTAACAGTAAAATGGAACTATTTAACGTATATATTTTAGTTAATTTAGCACTTTCCTTCCAGAAGGTTCGGATAAGAGTTGACTAATCTTTATTATAGACCTTAGACGAGATTAAACTTGTCACAATTGAAAAAGAAAGCGGAATCGACTAATACTTCAATGAGACATAGATCTTAAAGAGACATCAATAACAATAATGTTTGGTACTAAGTGTCAATAAAGAAAAGAACAAGTAGTTAACATAGTAGTGGAGATTCAGTCACTCATCGATAGAAATCCTCTAGATGTTCAAGCAGAAATCAAACAATATAAACTGTGAGATTTTGTGATGTGAAATAATTATTAATAGACGAATAGAATAAGCAATTTATTGAAAATATTGACATGGTATATTCAAGTAAACCTTAGTATTGTAGTGTTTATGCCTACGATATCTAAGAATATTTGAAATCTATAGAATTATCATGCTAATAGAGTGTTTAATAATACTTTCATCATTAACCTTAAGTAACTCAAAAAATGAGAACTATTTTGGTAGAATGGATAATAGACATTTCTGTAAAATTCAGATTGAAATAGGAGACCTTGTATTTAACAATAAACTTGCTTGATAGATACATGTTGACAACTCCAGTTTCTAAGAATATATTATAACTAATTGGAGTTTCAGCATTATTTATAGCGAGTAAATTGGAGGAGGTTCATTAATTATTGGCAAAAGATTTAGCATATATCACAGATAAAACATATACTAAAGAATAGATTATACACACTGAATCACTAATTTTAAAGCAGCTTAACTTTAACCTCACAACTCCAACAATATTATATTTTTTGACAAGATACTAAAATATCTGCCCTTTAAATTTGAAGCATTTTTTTTACTGCCAATTATTAATTGAACTTTACCTATTATTACAACCTTAGACTCACACCAGTAGTTAAATAGCAGCGGCTGCATTCTGGTTAATTCGTAAATAAAAGAAATACCATCCTATATGGCCTTAAGAATTATAAATCATAAGTAATTGTGATGAGAATAAATTACATCAAAGTGTTAAAGTTCTTTAACAATGTTAGTTAGAATTTCAAACGAGATAGAGCATATTTAACTCACTATATACTAAATTTTCTTAGTATAAATATTGCAGAATAATTAATGTATGAAATTACATGTTTATTTATTATACTTAAACAATAATGAATCATCATCCAGTTAAGGCGAGAATTGCTTGTACTGTATCATTATCTGATTTTCTGAGTGCTTCAACAGCTTTACTTCTATCACATTTACAGTGTTCCATGACCATTTTGATGGATTCAGCTGGAATGCCTTCATCACTTGCTTATTCTGTGCTTTCGACTGGTTTTGGTTCCTTGTTTTCTTCTTGTTTGGGACTGATAGGATATATTTTGAATATTACACTTATTATGCCAAGTTTTCAGCTTCTTTTTTGCCAATTTAACCAGTTGGATCATGTACTTTGGCTTCACCAATTACAATGTAAGAATTTTCAACATTGGCAGATTTTAAGACTTCTGGGTTGTCAATATAGAGAAGGAATTATTTTCCTCTTTTGATTGTGACTCTGTTAATTCCAGCAACTGGCTTCATTCCTAATTTAAGCATAGCCTTTTTGAATTTCTTCTCTCCTCTATTGGCTTTCTTGTCTTTGTCATCTCCTCCTTTTTGATTATGACCATCATCAGAATCTGAATGTTCATGATCGTGATCGTGATCATGATCATGGTGATGTTCTTAAGTTTATTCTTTTTCTTCCTTTATCTCGATCTCCTTCTCTTAAGCCATTTATTATTATTATTACGTAATTTAAATTTTTCAATCTTGATTAAATATTTCAAATGAGCACAAATTCACAATAGTATAGATTTCAATATATCTGATATATAAATAAAAATGATTAGATTCTCATTGAAGAAAGGATAACAATTATTCAAGAAATAATTCTAAGCTTTCTCAACACAATAGAATCTCATAGAAATATTCATAGATGACGTTCCCCACAAAGTAGAACTATATGTTTTGATCCTTTATAGGTTGATCCATCAGCAACAATATTTTAAGCATGTTATTCAGCAGGTGTGATTATCCCCAGATTCTGTTATCATGAAAGATTAGCAGTAGCAGGAAATTGTAGAATGTGTCTAGTCGAAGTTGAAAAGTCACCAAAACCTGTATAATTAAATGAATATTCTAAAAGGTGGCAGCTTGTGCAGCATAAGTAGCACCTGGAATGAGAATCCTCACAAAAAGTGAAAAGACTAGAATAGCAAGAGGAGGTGTTATGGAATTCATGTTAGCAAATCACCCATTAGATTGTCCCATCTGCGATCAAGGAGGAGAATGTGATTTACAAGATATTTCAGAGCAATATGGGTATCTTCTTAATATTCAATATCTAGTTATGGAGATAGCAGACATAACGAATACAAGAGAGCTGTAGAGGATAAGAATTTTGGTCCTCTTGTAGCCACTAGTATGAACAGATGCATTCATTGCACAAGATGTATAAGATTTTCAGATGAATATGCTGGTGTAACTGAATTAGGAACTAGTGGAAGAGGAAGGAATACTGAAATTGGTACATACATTGACAAAATGATCACTAGTGAATTACAAGGAAATCTTGCTGACATCTGTCCAGTTGGTGCTTTAACCAATGGACCATATGCATTCACATCCAGACCTTGGGAATTAAAATCATATGATTCTGTTGATGTTTTTGATACTATTATACCACTTATTCAAATTGACACCAGAGGAGCTGAAATTATGAGAGTTTTACCAAGAATTCATGAGGAAGTCAATGAAGAATGGTTAAATGATAAATCAAGATAAGCCTTTGATGGATTGAAAAAATAAAGATTAACACTACCATTGGCAAGGGATGCTCAAGGCAATTTTGCAGATTTATATTGGCCAGATGCCATTTAATAAGCAGCTAAAAAGTTGTAATCTGTTAAAGGAGAAGAAATTGTTGGAGTTATTGGAGAATTTGCTGATTGTGAATCAATAGTTGCTTTGAAGGATTTATTGAATAGATTTGATAGCGACAATTTTGAAATTAGAGGAACTGGTGTCCCCTAATTGGATGCAGACTTTAGAGCCAATTATTTATTCAACTCTAGAATCACAGGAATTGAAGAGGCTGATGTTCTTTTATTAGTTGGTACAAATCCAAAAATTGAATCCCCATTGTTGAATTCAAGAATCTTAAGGGCTACTAGAAAAAACAACTTAAAGGTATTTTTAATAGGACCAGCAAATGATTTAACATATAATTATGTCCATCTCGGAAATAATGCTTCAATTCTTGATGAAATTGCTAATGGTACTCATCCATTTGCTGCCAGACTCAAATCTGCTAAATTGCCTATGATTTTAACAGGAGCAGGTGTCTTAGAAAGAGTTGATGGAAATGCCATTCACAATGCATTAAAAAAGATTGCATAAAATTCACCAGTAATCAATGCACAATAAGGATGGAATGGATTCAACCTATTACATAAAGATGTTGGAAGAATTAATGCTCTTGAATTAGGTATCACAGCTAGGAGAAGTAGTGTACCACCAAAAGTTGTTATTCTATTGGGAGTTGATAATAATTTGAATGCTTAAGATATTCCTAAAGACGCTTTTGTCATTTACATAGGTAGTCACGGAGATGAAGGAGCTTATTATGCTGATCTCATATTACCAGGAGCAACTTATACTGAAAAGAATGGCACATATGTAATCCATATTATGTATTAAACAAGGTTTCAACTGAAGGAAGAGTCTAAACCACCAAATTGGTAGCACTCCCCCCATCAGGAGCAAAATCAGATTGGGAAATCTTGAGAGCTCTATCCGAGGAGTGTGGTTGTGCCTTGCCTTACGATAGTTTAGAGGAAGTAAGTCTTTCCTATATATATTTAAATAGGTCAGATATAGAATCGCTGAATTGGCTCCCCATCTATTGAAATATGACTACATTGAGCCTAGTGTTTTGGGACAGGTTGCTTTAAAGCCTGAGTCATCCAAACAAACCATTTCAGCCACTCCTTTCAGGGATCTAATTGATGTAAATTATAACATTTATAATTAGAACTTCTATATGACTGATGCTATTTCTAGATAATCAGTTACTATGGCTAAATGCTCTACGGCATTTAATCCTCATAAATTTAGCACATTTAAATAATTATGATATAATATCCATAAAATTAATAGCAATAATATATATCAAGCCATTTTTTTGCTTACAGGACTCAAATTGGATCTTTACGTATGATAGACTTCGAATTTAGGATTACTTTTTAAGGGACTGTTGATTCGAGCAGTTTATGAGCCTCCTCCTTATTTTAACTTGGTTGATGATTTTAGATCTTCAATATAAATATTAACTATATTATTCTAGTTGATATTGTACACACCGCCTCCCTTTTTGGTTGAACCTTGCACACAAATATTATTTGTAATCCTTAACGGATCCTTAGAATTTTCGTGTTTTTATGTCTATTTTGGAGGAGACCCCTTGTAATTTCCTATAGCATCTTAAGATTTTGTCCTGTAGTGCATCAATTAGGCATTAAGAATGGGAGCCTACAGATTATTATTTGAAATTAAAGTGGATTTCTTTTTTTAATCAGAATTCTTGACTTGCAATCCTTTTAAAGTAGATAGAGCATACTATGTGAATTTTTGTGGTAATTTTTATCTACATAAATGTGTATATTAAATAATACATGTTTTTAGATGTTGTTTTCTGTAAAGTCTATTCTCCAGTATTATATACACTCTGTCTCTAGACTCTATCAGTGGCCAAAGGTTGTTTACCTAATTAATATATTTATAATACTTTTAATATCATCTTCGTATTTTTAAAGTTATGAGGCAACTCTGGTTCTTCTATTAATGGATTATCAATAATAATTACAAGAAATTCACTTAATAAGATAACAAATCAGCTGACTACTTTTAGTTTGAATTTTATCTACTTGGTAATCTGAATTAACATTCTGTTGCATTGAAATTGCCACTCACTTTTCGTTGAGAATTCGATTTCTAGCAGTTATTAGCTTTTTATTGTTTCTACATAGTTTACTATTATTGAACAAAGTTTGCAAAACCTTCAATTTGGGAGTACACTTTTTGCATTAATTACGATTATTATGTACTTCTCAAAGGAGATTATTCTTAATTTGATCTTTTGGTCGATTCCCCAGCCTTAATGGAATTCTCAGCTTTTAAAGAAGAGACCTCGCCTTAATTGAACTGCAATCGATTCATATTGATTTTATCATTACTACCTTAACAGCTGACTTGATGAGTAGTTTTTGAATCAAAATTCTGTAATTGAGAGCTTTTATTAACCTTTGGTTTAAGATTAGTAATGTAATTAGATTTTAGATTTTTAGTTATTGTTGAGAGATCCTATGATCTTAAGAGAAAACTGTTGCTTTAATCAATAGACAATAATCCTGATATTTATCCAAGACAATCATATTTTTAGCCAACTTACTATATGAATTCTCTCAATTAGACACTACAAGAGATGTCTACCTTTTTTTGGAGATAAGAGTTAGTGTCCAATTTTAAGTCTTTCAATAGATATTTCAACTATCCTATAGTTAGATCTTCATCACTATGCTTTTATTTCTTCTTCTCTTTCTTTTTGGATGGTTACTAGATTTAGTGATTGTATTACAACGTCCTCATCTAGAATGTTCAATTTTCTCTTAATGTTTGCATATTCCAATCTCCTCTTCTTTTCGTGGAACTTATTTATGGTCAGATAAACATTTTGCATAAACAAGCGAGGGATGTCTTTGTGATATTTGTAGTATTCCTGCAATGCCTTGACTTTTTATTATGCCTCTTTTTTTACATAAGATCTAAACTTATTGTATCATTCTTACCTTTTCAAATACTCCTCCTCTTCGATCATACTTTCCAAATCCCTATAAAATACAACTGCGGGCGTTGACTCCTCCTCTATGATATCGTTGATGTCCTTTGAATAATAATAGTTTTAGGATGACGAATATTTAGCGAATAATGCTTTGTTTAAAAGTGGAGCATAGGATTCTTCTTTGCAGTCTTTGAACTTTTGACAAAACACGCAAGGAGTTTGGTTCTAGTTGTTGGGCCTATTCACCATTTAAAATCACATAAATTACGGTGAACATAAAGAGGAAAATCGTTTTCTTACTGACATTGGATTGCCAGTAGATTGTTTGCTATTTGATCTCGATGTTTTACCACCTGTGAATTACTTTTTCATTGACATAATCCTTAGCTTTTTTATAAGTTAATAATTTAATTGTATTGTATTTATAATACTTTTTAGTATTTTATGTTAAATTCTATAGAAATGCGTGGTGAATATTTATCATTTTGATTTGAGTGCATAATTAAATCAATTCCTTAGCATTTTAAACAACAGCTTAGATAATATTTATAATCTTCATTAAATTCCAAGTCAAATAAGAATATTATTAGTGAATCTTCACGAAATATGAATGGATAGAAAAAGAGAATGCAAAAATGTTATTATTTTAATAATTCCCAGTTTACTATATATATATGTTGTATTATACTATATGTATCATTTTTTTGTTTCCTTTGCCTACTTTCTCTTTTCTTTAACACCAACAAATTTAGCATTATACCATTCTTATCTTAATCTTCTGTATACATTCTTTGCTCTTAATTCTTTAGATATAACAGTAGCCTTCTCTCTTTTTGGTGTTCTTTAGAATGTGATGACCTTTAATAGAGCAGAAATCTTACCTCTGGATTGGTGTTTTAAGCTACAGGGTGAGCAGCAACTTCATTTGTAGAATCCTTAACAACTCCATTCTTTGGTTTTCCTGCAACTCTTGGATAAAGGACCAATTTTTAGAGATATGCCTTTAATCTCTTAACATTATTATTCAACTCTTCTTAGTTCAAATTTCTTCTTCTGTGATCAACAGCAATTCCAACTGTTCTTGCAAATGCTCCATTGAGTCCTGCCTCCTTTAATTCAATCAAGGAGAATCCTCGACCAAGTTTTTACACATTGTTATACTTTATAGTTTAACCTCTCACAACTGGACGAAGAAGCTCAACTGGTCTTGGAGATGCAGCTATTATTAGGGTATAGACACATACATAAAGCTTATGCTCTTCTTCTCAATTGTCTTCTTCTTTTAGCTGCTGGTTGATTATAAAATGTCTTTACAAATCGGGTCCAATGTTTTCTCATGTGAGCATTAGGAAGTTGTTAATTATGCTTCATATAGGTAAATTTTTTAAATAAAAAAAATGTAGATATGTAAAAACCAATATCAAATGACTTAAATAATTCATTTATATATATATATATAATTTCATAACTTTTATCTTCATCATAGCTGAGTTAAGTGTCTCATAGACTTTCTATTATTAGTATAAAGAAGAGCTACCTGACAAAAGTCTTAGACTTTTCCGTAGGAGTTTAGTTCAAATTTGGAGTGGATTCTCTTTGGTTTTATAATTAAGCTAATTCTTCAAAAGTTTATAGGTCAGTTATAGAGTTATGGAAAGATAACTTCAACTTTTTCATGTTGTTCTCATCTATCTCTTCCACTAACTATGGTTTAAATATTAAATATGGTCTAGAAGGCTTTGAAGCCTATTCTTTTTTTGTAGCCTGATCCGGAACATAACCAAATTATCCTTTCTATCTACACATGAATACTTGAATGTTACATCATAATATCCTATTAACTCTTTTGTGATACTATTGGTTTCTACTCTCTTGGTGTTGGAACTGTGTAAACTTTTTTCATAATCTTCTGAATTAATTCTAATACCTTAAATTTATTAATGAAAGTTTTCGAATAATTTCAAATGAGTCATTAAACATAACAATAGTAATCACTTACATTCTGGACTTTAAAAATTAATATTTTTAAATAACAACATACCATAAATATACATAAATAAATAAAATATTATTAAGATCATCCTACTTATTTAAAGGAGACCCTGTGCATTGTGCAATAGATACAATATTCTAAATAATTTAAAAATAAAGAGACATTTTTGATTAAATCTCAAATCTAATCATGAAAACTTAAGCAAAAATACAAAGATATTAACTAAAATCCAGTTCATTAAGATTTATGAATAACATTCAAAACTTTTAATTGAACACTTAGAAATATAGTAAACAGCAGATCTTCAATTAAAACAGCTTTCTAGGTATAAATAGTAATGAATTCTTTAAAATCTATCATTTAAAATTACATATTAAAATAGCTTTAATCACTTATCCAACATTGTACAGTCCTATTTTTTTATTTAGTTCCTGTTAATATTTTTAGATGCTTTCAAATTAAAATTGCGAAAACTTTATTTTTGACAATTAAGTAAAATTATTTAATCATTTTATTTTTTATTACTTATTTTAATAACTTACATAATAATAAATGTATAATAGAAATATTATATGAAAATCAAGATAACTCCTTAATAAATAATCTTAACTATTCAATTATTGCATGTAAAAATTAAAAACTATTAATTAAATATGAATCAAATGGAAAGGGAAAATGGTATGTATTTTCAAATTTATATTCCTATCACTAAAAATGAAACTATTATGAACTAAACTATCATCTTACTAGAATACAATATGTAATAATCAATATCCAAAAATATATAATTTCACTTGTAAAATATTTTATTTTATTCTGTCAAAATCTTTGTGCAAATGCTAAATATATAATTAACCATGCATCTTCGAAAATCAATAGAATTAAAAGAGTATGATAATCCTTTGTTTTTATTTTTATTTATTTATGAATATAGATTAGATGTTATTTAATTATAGGGAATATAAAATTTGATAGAATTTTTTGAAAAATGTTTTTGTTTTACGTATTGGAGTTAAAAGTGGTCGAAATTTATTTACAAGCTGGATGGAAACTACATTGAAGCGTAATGAAATTATCAATACTATTAAATTTATGATACTTATTACATCATGTTGAAAATCTTCTTACTATTTATAAAATTGAAGAATTTTACAACACTTCTATTGGTAATCATAAAAATATTTTGATTAATTTACTTGATATACTAAAACAAATTTACTAATGTTTTTGGGGCCTTCCTTTACTTTCTAAATATTCTCTCTATTTTATAAATTAAAAATTTAACACTCAACTATTTCAAAATATCTTTAAAATCCATTTAACCAACTACTACTGATATTATTTATATATACATTTTATTTCAAAAATATGAAACCAAATCAATTAGAAAATTTGGGAACTGATTAAGAAAATTGTATTAATTATAACTCAACCAATATCTTAGGCAATCATACTTTGCATGGTTAATCAGGTAGATTATTGCTTGGCAGTGGTTAGAAATCAAATTATCAAATGGTTACCAAGATTAAACAAAATTTAAAAAACAACTAGGAATCCTAGAAACCAATCAGAGCCTCAGATTTACTTACAGACAAGTCGTATTGATAATTGAATACTCTAGGCAATCTATAGGGAACTTTGGAAAACATTCTCAAGTTTAATTATCCCATTATGGTCCTTATTACGCAGGAAAACCACCTAAGAATAAAAAAAACTTTGATGAAAGTCCTTTTCTCATGGATTCCCAATTTGAAGAAGACATTGAAGGATTTAGCAATAATGCTTGGAAGAAATATCCTTTAGAAATTTTAATGATAATCCTAAGGTTTATTAGTTTTATCACAAAATCAAACTTTGCCACTAGTTTTAGATTGGTCAATAGAAATGTTTTTGAAATTGTAGGAGATAAGGCAGCTTACTTCCGATATTACTTGTTTAATGATTATCTCAAATACGAAGTATTGATTAAATTTAATTAAGAAACCTAGTCCTTATGAAAAAATGAAATATTAATTGAACCAGCAAGTTTTTGTGCCTTTAAGAAAAATGAAGGTTTACAATTTCTTGAGCAAAAATAAATTAATATTGAGACCCGAATCTTTTACTTCAATTGCTTGGAATATTTACATATTAACAATTCTCAATATGAATGTCTTGTATGTGAGTGCAAGAGTTTCGTTTAAGTTCGACACAAGCAATTCATTCGATGATAGTTTTTAGCAATTTAGACAGATACTATTTGATGTCTTACCCTCTTACTCATTTATTTTGGAAATACTATTCAAGTTTAATACTTGTTATTATTATAAGGGAACAGTGATAGAAAACAGATATTAGATAGCCAAAAATTATCTACGAACATGTAAAATATAATTAGATTATTTTGTAGCATTCTTTTTTGATGTTTTCGTCATAATTCCATTCTTCTTAAGTTTAAGGTTTTAAGTGGATTATTTGGATTTGGTGTTGATTCTGAAGGTATTTCAGATAAAAAAGTTTAGTGGTCATTTGTTTGATAGATTAGAACTAACGACAAATCAAATTGCCATATTTGATCTCGTTAAATTAGGGTATACAATTCTAGCTGTTGCTCATTTTTGTGCTTGTCTTTGGTTTTTGGTAGGTTCAACAGGAAATGATTAAATTTCATGGGTTATAAAAAATAATCTAATTGATGAACCTTGGCATACTCAATATTTAACATCTTTTTATTTCAGTATAGTTACGATGACTACGATAGGATATGGAGATATAACTCCATTAAATTTAAGGGAGAGGATATTTACAATTTGTATGACTGTTGCTGCTGTAGGTATATTTGGATATTCCATTGGTAATATCAACAGTATCTATGCTGAATGGAGTAGAAAGAGTTATGAATTTAGATAGAATATGAATGCTTTAAAAAAGTATATGAGATTAAAAGGATTAGATAAGCATTTGGCAGAAAAGATTAGAAAATATTTTGAGTATGTTTGGTGTGATGCAGAGGAAGAAAATGATAGAGAAGCTTTTAAATTTGCTGAGCAAATCCCTACATAATTATTGGAAGAAATGAAAATAGACATCAATATGAAAGTAGTTAAAAGAATTAGTTTTTTGACTCAAAACTTTAGTGAATAATTTTTAATCTAATTATCAAAAAATCTAATAGAAGAAAAATATGCCCCTGAATAAATCATTTACAAAGTATTTACTTATATTATATTATTAGTAAAATGAGGAAAGTGATTTTCTTTACATTTTATAGAAAGGAGAATTGTAATTTTATATAAATTTAAAAAACAAATAGGAATCACAAAAGGTCTTAGAATCAATTTCAGGAGAATCTTTGCCATTTGGAGTTTTAGAGTTTTTTTAAAAATAAAATTATTAAGTGTCCTGCAAATCAACGTAATTCACTTATGTACTTAAAATACATAGAAGTCAATTTATTGAGCTCTTATCATAAAATTCAAAAGATTATGTAAATATTGATCTTATGTTTTCAGTCTACGTTTTGTCAAATGAAAGATCAAGTCACATTCCTTAATAAATAAGATATCGTTGATGTCACCTGTAGAGCATGCAATAAGACTACTCATGTTATTAAAGAGTGCCCTATGGTTTGTGGATACCCAAACAGGGCAAAAGTCTTATTAAATTACCGCAGAAATGTGCCATCAGATCGAAAGAGCTTTAAAAGAACCTTCAATAGGAGGATTGATACACTTATGGAATCACATGATGTAAAGAATAGCATATTACTATTTATATGCAAGAACAAATTAATAGAAGATCTATAGCAATCCAATGGTATACCATTATATTAAAATAGAAAATAAAAATGAAAATGAATCAGACATTGAGAGTAATGAATCCTTAAAGATTGGATATAATCTGACAATATCATAGTAAATTGACTCAAAAAGGCCACTTTCATTTTAAGGCTGTAATGATGCCCTATAGGATGATGAACTAGTAATAATTGTCATAATATTTTAGTAATCTAAAATTAAAGAAATAGTTAAGTACTTCAAAAAAAAATAGTCTACCTACTCTCATTAGGAAAGCAAAACTTTTATAAAATAGGAGGAAAAAACTCAAAACTTTAATTTCCTAATGACAGGTTCTGATAAATCTAATTAGTTGCTTCCCCAATAATTATCAAGTGGATCTGAGTAAGCTTATCAGGATTCAAATAAAAGGGGGTCAAGAGCGTTAATGCCAAAATATAAAAATTTGATTGACGTTATTATTCAGGGAACAATGATTACATCACCTAACAAAATTTTAATATCTGAATAGGTTGAACAAGAGGAAGAGCCGGGTAAAATTAGAGGACAATACATTGAAATATTTGAAGGATTTGAGTAATATAAGAACTTTGACAATTATTTAAAGCATAATAATCTTGGGTTAATAATAAAGTTGAGAGAACGCAAGAAATATAAGAGATGATGTATCAATATAGACATAATAAATATTAAATTTTTTGATTGCATACTTTTATTCAATCTTTTTTGGCTTTTTCTTAAGTTTTTTCTTTCTCAGTTGAGGTAGCCAAGACCTTAGGGCTTATCAAACCATCGCATATTGCCCCACTTATTGCAAGGAATAAAATAGCCCCTAGGATGACTTAATCGCCACCAAATCTTTCAGATTTATATAATATATGGTTATAATTAATTGCAGCATAGAAAAATAAGACAGGAATTTGAAGAATATATAGAATTGCAATTCTAATTGTTAATAACAAATACCGATTCATTGTTATAAAGGAACATGCAATGAAAACATATCCAAGCACATTCCTCATTTAAAGATACAAGTCAACGTTACCAAGGATTGAATTTTCTAATCTAGCTGTTTCTCTTGCAATTCTTTCAAATTTTTCCTATCAGTAGATAGAATTTAATACTTGTCCCCAAGGATCCAGTAATAAGCTCATTCCTATAATTCCTAATCCAAATCCAAAAAACATCGATGAAAGTCTTTACATAATACAAATAATTATAATTAATATTTTAATTGTGTTTGATCAATTTTTGAGTTTAATTAAAAGCAGTAGGGTTATTAAATTATTGTTTTACAAATGATTCAAATCAAAGTAAATATGATATTACTAAAATATATATTTTTTGTTAATAAAAACTACATATGCCAATAAAAGTTATCATAAGCTTTAATTATATATACAATTCTTATTTAAACTCATTTTAATTTATTTTGAAATATAGTAGTAATTTAATAACTTATAGATTCTAAATTCTTATAATTATCTACTAAATTTTTATCAGATTCTATTAACCATTCATCATCGAAACATAATGTTTGGTTTTAGAAAGGTTTTAATTTAGGTTTTTTTAATTCATCTGGCATAGTTCTAACTCGAATATTACGATTATGTTCACATTCATTAGGTATAACATATTCTGAATCTTCGCTTATTTCATCTATTGAAATTTGGTTCAGCCCGTCAATTTTACTTAAAGGACTATTACTACTCCCTCTGCTCTTTTGATCTTTTATGATCTATAGAAAAGGCTAATGTTGTTTCATTAATGAAGGACCAGCAGTTCTCCGTTTAACAGGACTTGCAGATTGAGTATTTAGATGCCTTAAAATTTTAACATTATTTTGTACATAATTTACTTAGAAGATTACTTATCAGATTATAAATTATCCTCAAATTATATGGTTCCAAAATGAGAAAAATTTCCAGTCTAGGTTGTGTTTTATATGTCCCAATCATAAACGGTATCTAATGTAATTTTTGAATTTTTGGCTGCCTATTAAAATAGTTTTATAATTGACTTATAGTCTGGTTCTGTTGCATAAGTCAATTTTCTTAAGTAACTTAATAATTTATTATTGTAAAATTACTCATAAATTTTTTTAAATTCAACTGGAAGCTCGTTTAATAGTTCACTCGTTCTCAAAAGTTTCATTTCCCCAACCTATTCAATTTTTAAATCATTATGAAGTTGTTTGATATTCTGCCAAGGCAATTTACTGAGACATAATTAATATATATACCCATAAATAAAGAAGAGCAACACATAGAACATGGACTCCAGGTCGTCTTTCCTTCCTAATTCATTACCTTTATGGGCTGCTATTGATGCATATCGAGATGTGCCAATAAATGGTTGTCGATCTTTGAAAGGTCTAAATATAACAATTTTATACTAAATTGATCCATTTTTTTTGAGATAAATTTTACTAATTCCAAAATCAATTAAATAGAACTTGTTGTTTTCATCTATCATAATATTTTCAGGTTTGAGATCTCTGTGTAATACTCCTTTCTAATGTATGTCTTAAAAGACCTGCACCAAATTAATAGCTATTTGTAATGTAGTTTTTAAACTAAATTGTTTATATTTTTTTATCAAAGTTGATAAATCTTTTGATAATAGCTATAAGACGAGGACATTGAAATCGTCTTCTTGTCCAGCATAAATTAGTTAGGGTACTCCTTAAACTCCCTCTAATTTTCTTATGATGTCTATTTCTTTTTCTAAAGAATGATGATGCTGATTCTCAGGCTTTTCAAATTTAATAGCAACGTGTTATCCAGACTTCTAATCATAGGCCAGCATGACAAATCCAAAACTGCCAGCTGCTAATTTACGAGATACGATAAATTGATTGTTAATTTTTAGAGATTTCATATAAATTATTCACAATTAATGGAAAAAATATAAGGATTAGTGGATAGCCAAAAATTTCAGGAGGCAATAGAGGAATTGACTGATTTGTTGGAGAGTGAATTACCAAATCCGAAGCTTGGAACTCTCGAAATGCTTAATAGTATTTTAAGTCAAAGCACAAAGAGACAAGATTTATAAATAGCAATTTTAAGACTGGCAAAATTTGAGAATTCAAGTAGATATTGTGATTTAATTCTTAATTTGGCAAGGATTTACATTGATCTTGGATAATTGAGTGCTGCAAAATAGGAATTGGAAAAATTAAGGAGCATTGATAATAAATGTATTCAATGCCTACTTTAAGGATTTGATAGAATGTTCGATTAACAGAGAGAGGATTTACAAAAAGAGGTTCAATGGGAATAATTTTAGCTGTTGGAAAAGGAAGAAAAGGAATTAGATTATTTTTCATAAGATGGTTTATACAGCTATCTGATACCAACAACTTGGTTTTAGAAGTGGAGACAATATGTTAGAAATGAAGATCCATTGGTGCTGGAGGATCCTATTTAGGGTTTAAATGTTGCAAAATTGCGATAGATACTCAATCTAAATGAAGATTCTATAAATGAAGAGACTGAAGTAATGCCAGGTCCAATTGATGGTTCAAGATTACTATAAGTAAAATGGAATTTGTTACCTGATCCCACTGAATCAAAACAATATTTGAACTATATTTTGAGAAATGATTTGAGAGAAGGAGTTAATTTTTCTCATGTGAGCGCAAAAGTGTTTAGATTTTTTGAAAAGATCTATGGGGCAATCATGGTTAAAAGGCTTATTGTGAAATAAGAGGATTAAGATAGAGCAATAGTAGATGTAATCTTTCCGATTAATATTTAAGTTAATTCCAAGGGTTGTAGAAATAGTTATTCTGGAAAATTAATTAATAGAATTATCCTTATCAGTAAATGGGTTTGAATAAGTAAAAGAGTTAACCAGAAAAATTAATGTTATCAAAGGCACCAACCATGAAATCAAATGGTGGAAGTTTAAGGATCTGTAAAGTTAAATGGATTGGATAGCTCTGATTTAGAAAGGGGCTTTCCTCAAAAGTATCAAAGCAATAGAATTAAACTTAAAAACAAAAATTGATGATCTAAATTTAACGACCTAAGATATTCTCATATGCGAAATTAAACAAGGAAAAGGCATGTAACTAACTGCTGAAGTAAATGTAGATCAATAAAAAGAATAAAATGTTTCAGAACTCTAGAAAAAATTCGGAATCAGTAATATTCCTAAAATAGTGACTGAATGCAAAAGAGGAATGACAGGTTTATAGAATTTGGGAAATACTTGTTTTATGAATGCTGCTCTTCAATGTCTTGGTAACACCTATGAATTTACAGAGTACATGGTGTATAATCACTTTACTAAACATTTGAATCCCAACAATGTATTGGGAACCAAGGGATTTTTGGCAGTGTCATATGCTGAATTAATGAAATCTATATGGTTTGCAAATTATTAAAGTGTTTCAGCAATTGAATTAAAAAAAGTGATAGGAAAATGTGCACCTCAATTTTACGGGTATGGTCAATAAGACTCTCATGAATTCTTGTCATACCTCTTAGATGGGTTACATGAAGATCTCAATAGAGTTCTTAATAAACCAATTGTTTCAGACATTGAAATTACAAATGAGAGTGATTAATAGGCTTCTGAAAAATTTTGGATCAACTACACTTTGAGAAATCAAAGCAAAATTCAGGAACTCATGGTTGGACAATATAAATCTACTTTGGTTTGTCCACTTTGTAACAGGATATCAAAGACATTTGACCCCTTCATGAGTTTATCATTACCTGTTCCTAATTTTTCTATCTATTCTATTTCTTTGTACTTTTTATATGCCGACAATGAAATTATGCCAAATAAAATTAGTTTGTAATTGGGAGGAGATATGACAGGATTTGATATATTAAAATAATTGGAAAAACTGACAAATGTCAATCATGAAAGAATGAATATGCTACTAATTAAGGATCATAGAATTTGTGAAAGAGTGACCTATCATTAAGGAGCAAAATGGATAGCAGAACATTATGGAATATTGTTTGTTTAAGAGGTTGAATCGAACATGTAAAATCTGAATAAGAATTAAATAAATATTGATTTTTATTACATCATAAAGGGAACTCCTGATAAAGGTTTATCATTCCCTAGGTAGGTAGTGATGAATAAAAAATGGACATCGTAATAACTCTATGGATTGATCTACTCCAAATTCAGAATTCATTTAACTTTTGTAGTAAATGAATTAACAACTAAAGAATTTTCATTAAAAGATGAATTTTTAACATTGCCCAAACCTAAAAATTTAGAGGAATGCATACAAGAATTTGCAATATTAGTTTAAAATTAATTATAACCATTCACACTAAGATTCAAAGATCAAACACCTGGTTAACCAAAAAAGGAAATCTAATTTAGTGTAATATTATTTGATATTATTCTAGGATAATATAATAATTGATATCCCAGGGTCTAATCTTTCTATTGAAGTCATTATTTCAGATTATCTAGTAAAAAATACTCAAAATTTAAAACTCCAAAGATGTTAGGAAATACCACCAAATCCAATAAAAACTTAATAAGGAAAGAAAGAATGTGATCTGGATGATTGTTTTACGGCTTTTACAAAAGAAGAAATTCTAGGTAAAGGAGATGAATGGTATTGCAACAAATGCAAGTAACATGTTCAAGCATCAAAAAAGATGGAAATCTATAAAGCTCCTTAAGTAATTTAATTGTATGTATTCTTTATAGATCTTAATAATTCATCTCAAGAGATTTAGAACTAATAAAGTAACCATGGTAGGCAATGTTTTCATTAATAATTAAACATAGAAAATTACTTAATTGGTGAAATTTCCAATTGAACTAAATTTAAATAATTTAGTGTTATCCAAACAAGCAGGAGATAATTAAGATTATACGTATGATCTTTATGCGGTGGATAATCACTATGGTAGCTCAGCAGGAGGACATTATACAGCCTATGCTTACAATAGTGTGCTTAACAAATGGATTGATTATAATGATGCTAATACTAGAACTATAAGTACCAATGTTGTATCTGAAGCTGCTTACTTATTGTTTTATAGAAGAAGAGACTCTTAGAAGTGTTAATTGTTCAAATGATTCATATATATATTCATTAAATATCATAAATTTAATTTAATTAATATTATTAAACGATGCTAATCATCAATAGTATTCATTGAATTTTCTTCATTTTGTTCTTATTTAAATTGCATATTAAATGAACTCGTATTTGTTCCTTTGATTTATAATTATATTTCGATTATTTTCTTAAATAATGATATTGCCTGATAAACTTATTTAGAAAGCTAAATCAGAATTAAAGAATTGGAATTAAACTTCTTTAAGTGTCTTAGAATTGAGTCATAGATCAGCAGAATACCTATCAATCCATAACAAATTGCTAAATGATTTGAGAATGCTATTTAATATTCCTAAGAATTACTAAGTAATGCTGATGCAAGGTGGAGCCACTTTGTAGTATTCAGCTGTACCAATGAACTTATTAAATAAGAATGAAACGGCTGGATATATAGTCACTGGGAAGTATAGTTAATAGGCTTACGAAGAGGCAAAAAAATTTTGTGATCCTAAAATTATTGCACTAGGAGAAGTTCCTCGTGAAGATATCACTTATATATTTTATGTTGATAATGAAATGGCTGACGGAATATAAATTAATCAGCTTTCCCATTGTGATGATAAGATAGTTGTTTGTGATATGACATCAAGTTTTGGATCTAAAATTATAAATGTTGAAAAATTTGGATGCATTTTTGCCTCGTTATAATATAATTTAGGCATTCCTGGATTATGTATTGTTATCATTAAGGATGAATTGATTGGATAAAGTGATAGGACCATTCCTTCTATGGCTGACTATCAACTAATGAAAAAAAATAATAGTATTTATAATACTATCCCATGCTATAATGTCTATATAACAGGATTACTAACAGAATATTTGCTAGAAATAGGACTATAGTAGGTTGAATAAGAATAACTCAATAAAGCAAAGTTAATCTATGACTTTATTGATAAAAACTAGGAATAATTCTCTTGTCACTGCAGCCATATCAATTTAAGAAGCAATAACTCTATCGTATTTTATTCAAATTCTGATCTCCATATCACTAATTTATTTGATTCCGACATCATGATTGTTGAGGGAAATAAAATAACTATCTAAATTACCATTCATACTACAATATAGAAGTTAGAATAAGTTTGTTAATAATTGATATTATGATAAAATATTATGTAAAAGAATTTAAAATCATTTTAAGAGTTGTTTTCTAATTGTTTTTAAATGCTTATATTAAATTTATTATATTCAGTAAACCATGGACATTCCTAAAAGAACAGAACATAGGCCTCCTAGGCCTCCTGTACCTAAGTTCAGACGTATTGGAGCAGGAACTGATTCACCTGATTTCCTCCCTCCCCCAAAAACTAAAGAATCCTCTTTTATTGCATTATCCTTTGATAATACGTCTGAAACTTCAATAGAAGATTTTAATGAATCATATTTTACTAGAAAAAGGTTATCTGCTATTGTAGAAGAAATAACCAATTAAATTGCTTTATTGGGATTAAGTGAAGATCTTTTAAATATAGGACTATCTTTATTAAAACCAGAATTACTTGAGGGATTGAAGTAGAAAAAGTATAAAGCTATTGCAGTTGCAATCATAATAGCTTCTTTGAAATAGATTAACGCCCCAATAACTTTAAAAGAAATTTTATCTAAGACATCTGTTTCTGAGAAATAAATCAAAAAAATTCTTTTATAGATTCATAATCCATATAATTTATAGGCTATTGTTTATTCATTCATAAAATAAATTTCAAGTTAAATTGGATTGAACGATAGATTTATTACTTTTTGTCTTTAAATGTTTAATGAAATAAATCAAAGAGGTCTTATTTAAGGTGAACATGAAAATGTAATAGCTGGAGCCATTATTAAATATTGTGGTGATATTATATTTGCAGAAAGAGGAGGCATCTTAGCCCAAGTGATTGCAGATAATGCCAAATGTAGTCTTGGACCTTTAAAGAACTTTCTTTAAAAAATTGAATCGAACTTACGTTTTACTTCATAGATTTAAAAGGAAAGATGATTAAATCAATAATATCTTTTTCATTTTTAGTTTTATATTTATCTTTATATCAAAATCAATTCGACACTAATAATTAATTCTTGTTTTCAATATGTTATTTAAACTTATAATTTCAATATTCATATGTTTTATTTCCGATATAGAAATCTTTTAAGAACTCACTCTTTCCTTTAAGTTTTTAATTTTCTAAGTATGAATATCCAGCATCAGATCTATTTTGATTAGCAAAGTATTAGAATAAATGATCTCTATTTAACATATGCCATTCAGCTTGGTAGAGTAGTTCATATCCTCTATAAACCTATGAATATCAAAATGGAATTCAAACCCATCTATCAACTGCATCTGGATCTCGTAAATATGCTCTTTTTCTAATGACATTTGCAACATTGAGCATTGCCTATTATGAATTGCAGGTGACTTCCATATCATGAATTCTCAATAAAAATGGAATTAGACGACAGACTTTTCTATAAAATCTTAAGACTTTGAAATGGGCTTATATAATATTTTTTGATGGTCTTCCAGTCGTAAGGCCTTCAAAAATTTCTGTCCCTCTCATGGTAATATTATTTCCACCATATTGCTAGCTTAAATTGAAGCATTTACTTTTCCTCTGGATCCATGGGTTCCTATTTCAGGAAATAGATTAAGATTGCTTGTAAAGTTTTAATTTTAATTCATTAATATTTATAATTCAATAAATATCAAACACTCATTTATCTTTTTTTGGTTTCCATAATTTTAATAAAATCTAATTATTATCTTAATTAATAGCCTCTGATCTTCTCCCATTTAATGAACTTTTCCTTAGGAATATATAAATAAGGGTCTTCCAAACAAGACTTGGCACTCAATCTGAAAATTGAATTCGGATTCATCATTCTACAAATTAATCTTCTTAATTTAATAGAATAGAAATCTACTCAATATGGACTAAGACAAATACCAGATCCAAAATCATTAACAGTCAGTCCTTATCTCAATTTCAACCATCTCTCCCCACAAGTAGGAAGGCTTTCTCCGATCATGATTTCGTAAATTGAAGCGCCAAGTGAGAAGATATCTGATTTACTTAAATCAGATTAAGCTGTTAGCTAGAATTCTAACATACTATAGATACATTTGATAGAATTTCAGGAGCTAAATATCGAGAATCTCCTTCATTAATATCTTCTCCTTTTTTTAATTAGGTTAATCTGGATAGCCCTAGATCTGCTAATTTATAGCATCCTTCTGTCTTGCTATATAAGATGTTATCCGGTTTGACATCGAAATGTGTGATTGATTATTCATGGAGAAATTTCAAGCCCTATAAGATATCCTTCAAGATCTTCTTAACTTCAAATTCTTCAAGTTTTTGATTTTATTCTCTTCTTGTTTCCTAATGGATGATAATAAAGATTACTTAAAGAGAAGTGACATTGAAGTCACAATATTCCATTTATAAATAGTAATAACATCTTTCATTCCAAGCAGTATAATATCGTATGATGTTTTTACATCTTCCCTTAGCTGTCAGATAGGCCAGTGCTTGTGCTTCATTAAGCGATTCTGCGGCATCATAGGATTTACCGCATCCTTGAAGTTTAACGCATTTGATCGCATAAATTTATTTATCAATATTATTCCTGCATTTGTAAACAGTACCAAAATTTCCATTGCCTATCACTGCCAATTAAGTATATTCATTATAATATCTAGATCTCTCAAAAGTAGGACTCTCTTCTTCTGATTAATCTTCGATATCCATAGCCCAGGCACTTGTCTAAATACTTTTTATTGCACTCTTTCAGTTAAAATATAATATTACTTTCTTCTTTTTTGGCGTGGCAGTCCCTTATTTTTAAGCAGTTAATTCTTTATGTGATTTTGTTCCTTTGTTTTTTGGAGTGCTTGGAGGACTTTATTGGATTTAATCTAATGTCATTTGATTTTAAAATCTTTGAACCAAGGATGTTCCGATGCAATCGTTTTCGGAAGTGCTTGGAGTAATATGTGAATGATGATGCTTTTATTTGATTGGTGTTTAAGTCTTGATAGGACTAATTATTTATTGATATAGCTCTACATAATCTAGAATTTGAATTATTTTTTTCCTGAATTATTGTATTGTTGTATTTGATCATCAATAATTACTTTCTTACACAATTCTGGTTCCATTTACTATTTTTCAGGAGTACTAAATAAATTTCTTGCAAGAGGAGATTAAAAATTCATTTCCGATTTGAATTTGAAAAATGCTACTTTTTATAATTAATTAATTGATGCTATACTAATTACAATATAATTTTTATTTATATTTATATTTCAATATCTCACTAAGAGAATATTCAATAGGATTTCAAAATACCAAAAATTTGGGTGATGTTTCAAATATATTGTCAATTTTTTATTCTAAGTTTTGAGTTTTATATCTATAAGAGAAAGCTTTATTTGTAATTACTTTAAAATGGATTAACAATCTAGAATTGAAGGGAGAAATGGGTGGGATATCATATTGTCTATGATTCGATGATTATCAGAATAATGAATAAACTAATTGTATCATTGTTTATTGAATATAATTAATTTAAAATATTATGCCTATTGTTAATTAATTTGAAGCCATCCTCAATATACAGTCTAAAAAGAGCCAAATTCAGTAAAGAGTCTAATCCTTTGCTTTCATTTAATTATGTGTACATATATTGATTTAATTTACTAATTGTTTCAATCCACTGAAATAGCAGGAAATTTAAATGAGTAATCTTTCGATTCAATGTTGAAATAGCTTCTTTATAGAGGCCTAATAAATTTTTAATATTATTAAAATTCTAAATAAAATTTAATGAATCGTTAAACAAACTAACCTTCTCACAATTCCTCGACACAACTATACTATTCCCAGTATTTAAAGTAACAATAAGTGAGTCCAATTGCAGAAAGATTTGTTGGAGATGAAGTTTAAGAGCTTAGAAAATAAGTTGAACAACTCACCAAATAATTAGAATTCAAAGAATAAATGATAAGTGAAATGAGAGCTCATTAAAAAATATTGATGAATAGATTGTCTGAACCAACTCATTATTAAAAAGACAACGTAGTAGAAAAAATAAAGGAATTTGAGATGCAATTAAAAGAAAAAGAAGTTTAATTTCAAAATTAATTAATTGAAAACAGCTTGCTTATGAAAGAAAACCAGAGTCTAAAGTAAGAGATCACTCGTTTGGAAAGCTTAATCAAAGACCCTTCAATATCAAAGTTCGTTAATTCAATAGTGGATCTTGTAATACAGTGTCATCCCTAAAATTATTTTCCAAATTCGAAACCCGAATTGAGAGAGTGTTGGAGGTGGTTGAAAAAGATTCTCAATGATTACATAAAACTAAAGCAAAGCATGCATTGATTATTTTATTAAAATTATGAATATAGATGGACTTGAAACAATAGTGAATTTTCTCAATCAAGAAGTTAAGCAATTGCTGATAGAACAAAGAACTTAATCAATTGCTTAAACTCATATAACTAGCCATCAAAATCTCAAGAGAACACACGATAATATCTGTCTTGTTGAAACCTGCTTAAAAGGTCAGCACAATCCAAAATGCTAAATTGAATTATCAATTAAAGAATATGCTAAATACTATAAAAGAACTGCTTGGTTGATTGGTTTCTAAATTTTAAAGTAAAATAACACCTCTACTTTCTTAATGATCTATTAAACATAAAGAGATAAAGCAGAAAAACTAAACATCTTAAACTTTAAATGAGACTGTTATTTTTATTAATAAGCCCTAAAATGTAATTAAAGTATCTTTAAATGCATAAACAATAATGAAATATATCCTTAAACGATGAAAATTTTAATCACTATTTTCAGTCTTTTAGAAATTTTTCATTAAAATCCTGTTGAGTAGAGAAGCGTAGAAAGGTTTTAAATAATCATAATGAATCTTAATTAATCGCAATTATTATAGCAATTTCGAGTTTAAACATATAATTGTATCTTAAATTTAAGACTCAATTCCAAAAAGATTAAGTAATAAGATGAAGAAAATGTGTACTATTATAATTTGCAGATATTTTGTGATCTAATAATTTATTATCAATATTTATCATTAACATACCCCATACGAAAACAGAAACTTTTCTAATAAATATATTGAAGATCTAAGCATAATTTAGTAAGTCTTAACCAAAAAATAGAATAAATAAGGACTATGAAGCAGTTAATGGATGGATAATAGGCAAGAAATGTAGAGTTTTTTATATTTTATACATAATGTACTTTCATTACTATTTCACCTTCTTGAATTTTGAGTTTTATGCTAAATCTTATGATGCTTATCTTTTATCATCTCCTTTTTAGAATTTCTACATCCATGTAGCTCCTTAAGGCTAAAAGTCTGCTTCATCTTAATATTAGGCTTAATTGGAAACTGGCTTTGCCTTTCCTCTTTATGGTGCTTTCACATCTCTATAGTTTACTCCTTCCTCTAGTTGATGAACTCTCTTTTCCAAAAATGCTTTGTTGGTGACTCCAAATTCAGCATCTTATCCCTCACCTAGAATAAATTAGATATAAATATATACCCAAAGCATCATATCTGATACACAAGGCAGTTTTAGCAGCTAGGGTTCTGGAGACTTTACCTTTCAATTTAGCAGGAGCACTTCCAACTAAACTGGCTTAAAAGATCAAACCATATTTTGGAGTGTTGTGTTTGGTTCTAATGGCTTTGAACAAGGCCTTCTCAGCACCTAAGATTTGAACTGTAGAGGCTGGATATTTGGCTAGATTAACCAGAGATCCAGCATGTGATATTAATCTTGCTCCTACTAATTCTCCAACCATGGTTGTAAGATTTGGGGCAATGGCTTACATTCTATTTTTCAGATACTCTGATAATTAGGCTCTGTAATCAGTCAATTCGATGACTTAGTCAGCCAAACAGAGAATGAACTTTTCATCTTCAAGTGTGATTTCAGTACCAAATGACACTTCTGCAGCCTATTTGACATCTGCTTCTAGATTTTCTGGTAAAATGCCGGAAAGATCAGTTTAGCTTGTCTTGATTCTCATACCAATGGCTTTAACAACCTTGGCATATATCAGGTTATCGGTGATGATTTTTCCTAATTCTGGGAAATGCCATCCGAACCATTCTCTCAGTCTCATCATGTAATTATTAATTTCTTTATCTAAATCATCAAGAAGAGCAATGGCTTGGATGATCATGGTGTCTACTTTTTCAGTTGAAAATTTAAGCTTGTATCTAGAGAGACCATGTGCCAAACCTAAGGTCATGTTTTTGAGTTCAGCTTCACTCAAACCTTCAATTAGATTGGTTAGTTGTGATTTAATGCCTCTAAACAATTACTCGGTCACTGGGGTTTAAATGCAATTCAATCCGAGCTAATCTTGGAGCTGCTTAGCTAGTTTTTTATCCTAAACTATATTAATGTATTATCTATTGATACCTGCTATTTAATCTTGAACTTCCTATGAAATCACATTCTTTTCCAAAAACTTACTGAGTTTTTTGGGTATCTTACCATTAATGAGCTTACTAGTGGCAATGAGAGCTTCTTGGGTATCCTTGAATTGTTGGAAAGCAAAAGGTGTAATCCTAGGATGATGGGAAGGCTTACAATTTTTTAGCTTGCTTCTCATTTTGCAAGTAATCATAGATGTTGTCAATTTTGTTAAGTGTCTTAGTGTTAGCCACTTGGAAGAGGGCAAATCCAGCAGGAGTCTCGATTAAGATTAACATATTAAAATATTTATGAATCTCTGTCCATATATTAATAATTTATTATGGATAGTGACAATAATAAACGTTTCAATTTTGATCACCTTTCTCAAAGATAGCTCAAGAATAGACTCTACAAAAACATCAATCGATATGATCCTAGCGAACGAAAACTTACTTAACCACTCTCGAATGCATCAAACCCATATTTGATCCCCAAGATTTCAAAATAGAGATTGGAACCAATTATATCACCTCAAGTCAATTTGGGCGTGACCATTTAATAAGGTAGAATTCTTCTTGATCAATCTGCATATCAATCTGGCAAAAGTATTTGTTGTCATTACTAACTCAAGACATTAGAAATGATACTTCTTTTGCTTAAGATCACTCTAAAAAACCTAAGAACTTATCGCCCTTAGAACAAAGACTCTAAAGTGATTATGGAATGAGTATGTTGGACGATGTATAAAACCCTAATTCATCAGTCAATGATTCCATCATAAATCTATTTCAATTCCCTGAGAGAAAGAAGGACACTTCTATATTAAAAAAAGAATTAAAAAAACAAAAGAAGAAATAGTTCCAGCAATCCTACTTGTCTCCTATGGATTTCATTTACCTCATTAAAACAGATCCTGAAATGGCTAATCAATTTTGTTATTTGAACAAAAGAGATCACGCCTATGATTACGAAATCGTAGAATTCGAAGATCGAAATGATAAAGAATACATGACGATAAGTGCTAGAGGCATCACCTATTATCAAAACGAAGAGACTACTTTTCTGACCATTGAAGAATGGTAAAGAGAGGCCAATCTCTTTTAAGACTTACAGAAAATCGACTTTTTCAGAAAATACAAGTTGTGGAAAAACTTCTTCCTTTGGAAAAGACTCATGAGGAAGAAAATCTTAGCTAAAAATCAAGAATTGATGGTTTCCAATTTGTTTTCAACAGATAAATAATTGAGGATTACTTTATTAGAAGTCAAGAGAATCTGTTAATAAATGGCCTCTGACATCAGATTTCTAGATACTTCCACTGCAATCCCTTAAAATCTAGACAATTTTAAGATAATACAAGATAAACATCTTATGTCCAAAATGGACAAATAATTTGATAACTACGAAAAACAGATTTAATCAGTCATAATTGAATGTTGCCAAAAGTCCTTAATCAATTATAAGGAAACACACCGCATCTCATTATAAGAGGATGATAATGAGGAAAGAGCACCTTTATTGGTAGGTGATGAGTCTGGAAAAGAGATGCCGTTTACAACTGAAGCTACTATCAGAACTCATTATAAGAGGTTAAAAAAATTTGTTAAATATCTTGATTATGTTATTATGGATGCCAAATTACAAATGATGCAAAATTCAGTAGAACATATCGTCAAATAGATCAGAGATTTTAATGAGTAATACAGACAGAATTTGGGAGGCAAAAGGAAAGGCTATTATGGAAAGGGTTAACCATAGTGTTGGATAATTGTGGAGGCAGTTGGTAAAGGAGACAATATACTATTTAATCCTTAAAGGGAATAGCTTTTCAAATTATTTGAAAATATAGTCAGCAATAGTGTAATACGGATAACCACTAGACACAAGGAAATGTTGTCAATGCCAGATTTATAGTAATATTTACACGATGATGGGAATCAACAATTGGAGAAGCTTGATGTTAAGTCAATCCTTAATGGAAGCGAAAACTTTCAGAACCTTTGTGGTTAAATGAGGAGAGAATTAGAAGTAGCATTTGATCATCTTGAATAGTATGCTAACAAGTTGAAGCCCTTTTTGTAATGGTATGTTGAGAACACTGGAGTCAACATTGAGAAATAATTCACAGATAAGGATGTGGATGAATATCGAAATGCCATCAATAGGTACAAAAAACAGGATCAATTATTTCAGGATATGGAACCTACTTAGGAGATCGGTGTGATTCTATTTGATAATCACAAGTTAAAGGCAAAGATTAAATCCAGTGCTATGCATTGCATTGTAGAATTGCAAAGGTTTATACCAGATTACATGTATAAGAAAGCAATACTGTTTACAAAGAAAACTGCTCAATTATATTCTACAATTGCCATATCTCCTATTACAGTTGAGTAATTTGTAAATTATATGGATGCTGTGAATGTAATTAATAATTAATTCGAAGATTTGAGTAATACCTCATAAGAGGTCACCGCTATGGCTTTATTAATGGATGAATTGAAGATCAAAATCCAGGATTCGCATAAACAAAAATTTGCTGAATGCATTTAATAGGTGAGTCAATTACGTAAAAAGGTAGATGATGCTATGGTAAATTATGATTAAAACTTAAATAAATTCAGAAAGGATATGGAAAGAATGATACCTTAGGTGGATAATACAGTCAAGGATTTAAATGAAAGAGTTTCGGAATAGCCATTGAGTTCTTTGTCTGCTGATCTAGGCGATATGATTGCATTTGTGATTGGCATTAGAAAATAAGTGGACGAATTAAAGATTCATGCTAAGAAATTAAATGATTACTAAATTGCATTAAATCTGGAGTATACGCCCTTTGAAAAATTAGAAATATTTAATAATGAATTTACACTTCTGGAAAGATTGTGGTGTGGTAGAAATGAATGGGTTCAGAATTATTCTTTTTGGTTGAAACAACATTACACTGAAATCGATTTAGATGAAATGAATAATGTTATGGAAAAACTATAGAAGACAGCCAATATGTGTGCTAAAGAATTAGATAAAAACGAAGTAGCAAGAGTTTTTAAGTCTGACATCGAAGCATTCAAAGGAGTGTATCAAGTACTTTAAGCATTGAAAGATCCAGCAATCTCTGATAAACAATGGAATTAAATTAGATTATTGATTATTGAGAATTAACAAGTGTTCAAAGAACCCATTTTAGAACCATTCACTCCTCTGGATGATCCTAAGTATGATGTTTAATGGATTACGAAGGTGGGCTTAGATTAAGTAAAAGAAAAGTTAAGTGAAATTGCTTTGAGAGCTG